AAATAAAGCTACATCGCACTCAAATGGCATACCCCCTGTCAATTCATCCTGAATTCCCTTGAACCCAAGAAGGTATTGGGACTCCTCCTAGGATGAACATCGTTGAGCATCAAAGTTGATTCATCCGGGTTTCCCCTTATCCACCTTACAACGGTAACTTCAATTCATCTGGGCCGCACAAACAAAGAGGACGCCTCCCCGGTCCAGGTTCCTGAAAAGTTCCCTCCAAGACATAAAGGTTTGTCAGGCGACGCCTACCGAGTCCCAAAAAGGTCCATAGATACGTGTGGGTCAAAACAGGGTAACCCCACAATGGCCTGCCCGTCGGCTGTTGGAGGGGAACACCCCATTATTCATAAACTGGGGCTGATGAATATGGGGTCAAGAGATTGCCCATCCTATTCCCTATCCCCGTTCAAAGGCGCCTGGCGGCACCAGGTCCCAACAGGCGGCACCCCGACCCCCGACCCCGAGTTCGACCCCATTCTCCCCTTCTTCCGACAAGAAAAACACAAAAAAACAACCAACAAAAAAAGAAAGAAGAGACAGCATGACCACCCGTTCTTCCGGAGAAAAACAAATCCTCCCGCCGCGGCGCCCATCTTTGCCGCTTGCACCTGCAACCCCAGCGCCGCCGCGGCGCCCGGGCGGGGCGGCGGCACCACCGTGGGCGCGATGGGAGCTGGCGAGTTGGACGCGCGCGGACGCGAATCGCCGGTATGTGGCCAGGTGAGTTGAACTCAAAGGCCAGTTTCATGGGGGTTGGGGGGGAAGGGAGGAGAGGGGGAGCCCAAATAAGCCCAAATTTTAAGCTCTTAATAAGGCCTTGTTTAGGAAATATTTGGGCTCCCTCCCCCTCCCCTCCTTCCCTCCCAGCCCATGAGAGTTGGACTCAAAGGGGCAGGGCACCTCAGGTAAGTGGGTAGTAAGCCTGGGGAGATGACCCACTGCACGGAGACTTACAAAACAATGGTTTTTGTGGGGTATGTCACCATGGTTACTATCCACTTGCCAAGTACACTGCCCCGTCAAGGAGGGAAAGGGATTTGGCGGCTCACATTTCGATTGGAGGTTGGAAGGGAGAATGTGTCAACCTCGTTGTGTTGGTTGGAACACGTCAGATTAATATAAAATGGCGAAGGTGCAGTCGGAGGGTATCTGGAAGATCAAACTCCTCTCGAAATGACCACTCAGGAGGGATATGTCCAATCGGGTGTAAAGGTACTAGTTCTTCTCCGCCTTCCAACACCCCATGGTTTCAGCAAACAAACAATTGGGAACATCCGCATTGCAACTCAAGGAAAGGGGACCTTCCCGATTTTTGATTTCAGACTTGGGGGCCTTTCGGAGCTGGGCTGAGTCCCTTTTGAAGGGAGCCCCATAGGAAATTTGAGGGTCTGTGCTCTGCTTTCGGAAACACCTGGAATCCGTTGACACACCTGGAATCCGTTGTGAAGCATGAGTGGGAGCCGATCAACACGATCTCAGCGACCTTTCTGAGGCTTTGTCCGAGTTTAAAAGCTGTCCTCCCTCAAGCACCCAGGAAGGGCCAAATTATGATCATCATGGGTGTGTCTCGATAAACATGGGAACCCTCCAAACCGGTGTCCTTTTGGTTTCCCCCCGCAGCCCAAAAAGGCCTCCAACTCAACAACGCGTTCTCTGAGAATGCCTTTTTTTTTCTGCAGTCTCTTCTAGTAGGGGGACCCTCCCCAAAAAAAGGGTAATTTAAAAGACGGCACTACCGGAGGACCTAGATGATGTTGGGTCCACGTCGTAACGACGAGTGCTCCGGAACTTCGCCCGTGTGACCGCCCCGCCTGACCGCGCCGGCGTCTTGCTGGTGGCAAACTTCACCTGGGCTCATGAAACCGGATCGGCCCGTTTCAGGACTCTTCTTTCGGGGGTTGCTTAAGAGGAAACACAGGACACCAACCCACCCATGAGAGCGGAAATCTCACTTCCTCGGTGGATTGGCCCACACAAGCCCACTTGTTGCACTCTTGTTGCTAACTAACATGGTCTTCCCTGAAGGCTTTGCAAGTCCAGAAACCGGCGAAGTGAGACATGTTCCATCTCCAGCCTTCATCAGTGAGTTTGAGTGAACCGATTCTTTCCCCAGCCAAATACTCAACCCCAAAGAAACGAGGCCACCTCCTTGCAAACCAAATGCTCCGGGCCTCCAACTCATCGAAAACAGACACCTATCCGAATCCTTGCGGGGTGGGTTGTTTCTCCTGTATCTCTACTTGGGGTCTCTTCTTATTGGCTTGCTTGTTTCTCTGCTTCTTTCTTTGTTTCTTTGTTAGGTTGGTTGTTTGTTTGCTTTGTTTGCCTTTCTTCGCCTGATGGTTTGTTTGGCTGGCCGGCCGGTTCAAGTCCCAACCCGTCAAGACGCCGTGATGGGACTCGGGAGGCCCAGGTGATCGCTGGTCACCTGGCGGAGAAACGTTCGGACAGGGGAACCTCTCCGGCCGGGTGCTTGAAATGTTCCATGCACGGAGAAACCAGAACTGATTCTGAGACTAAAACAGGAAAGTGCCACCCTTGAAGCATTTGGACGTTTCCATTTCCATGTTGGAATGATGGCCCTGGCAGATGTGGCTGTGGGTCAAAACCAATGGGATCCCATTTTGGGGTAGCTGAATTCACCACCCATTGTAGTCGGAATTTTAGGGGGGATGGCGATGTTTAGCCGGGTGCTGGAAGTGGCCAGTGGATTTCCACAGTAAAAAAAGTGCATCCTTTTTGGGCTGGTTGAGGTTTAAAGGGAACCCTTCCCAACAAAACGGAACAAAGGGCACCACTGGACAACTGGGGAATGGTGGCCCTGGTAGATGTTCAATTTACGGAGAAACCAGGGGAAACTAAAACAAGAAAGGGCCACCCTTAGAAGATGTGGACGTTTCTAGGCATGCAATTAGGCTCGGCCACAATAGGGGGCTGAACGGGTGACGCCTCACTGGATCGCAAGCTTCAGCGCGCCACTGACCAACCCCTCCTTTTGTGAGCCATGGTCAAATCTCCGTCAATTCGGCCGATTGGGTTCTGGCTCCCTGAAAAAGAGTCATTATGGTTTGTTAGGATCATGACCAGGCACATCATGTTGCCTGGAACCGCATGCTGAAGTCTCTTTTCAAAAACCGATGGGGGGAAGGGCCCTTAATCACCCCACAAACCCCCCCGCACCCTGAACACCCCCCCACCCAGCAAAAAGCCACCAAACGCACAAAAAACAACAAAACATGGAGTTCGTCCCACGGCGGGCGGTGGTCCTACTACCATGGCTATGAAGCTTCACGGGGCAAGGCTTGCGTTCACCTGCACCTTTTTTCCCTCCCAAAATATGGGCGCGGCTCATAGTTTAAGAGCCAGCAGACCACAGGTTTTAGTCGTTGCTTCCATTTAAGGTGCAGTTTTGGTACATGTTTGAGCCCAACCGTCAGCTAAGGGCAAAGTGGCTTCCGTGGCTTCTCTGCGAAGAAAAAGCTCGCCCCAAACAATCCACGCCGTTCACCTCCCTTCATATTTGGAGGGCAATCCCCTGATCGAGGATTCCAGAGGAACCCAGCTGAAACATGGGCCAAACCCCTGAAAATCACAAAGCCGCATTCTTTTTGATACCAACGCCCGAAGCTTTTGGCTCGATCAAAATGGCTATAAAGGTTGCAGGCCTTGCTGTACCCCCAATTGAATCAGAAAGATCAGACCACCAACTAGGAAATCTAATGGAAAAAACGGTTTTGGGCACTGCTCAATTGGCCATGGGCAAATCCAAATCGTACCCCCGGTGAACATCCCAATCCCCACTAAAATAAGTTCTAAAATAGGTCCAAAATGGTAACTGACCCACAGCCAATTGGGTACCCAGAACGGAACCCAGGTAAATGGAAACATGGACTAACATCTGCGGCCCCTGGTGGTTTGATATTGACCCTGCTGAGCCAACGGAAAAAAACGCGGGAAGCGCGGCCGGGCCGGCCGTGTCCACGATCCATTTCGCCTCCTCCACCGAGGAGAAGCGGACCAAGGCGTTCCGTGTCTGCCCGCTTTGCGCGGGCAGCACCTCTTGTTTCACAGGGCACATTCAACATCACCTCGAGGGAATCGGAGCTTCCAGTAGGTAAAACTACCTGGGTAATGTTTGGAATAATGTTTACCCCGTAGTAAACAACCCCAGTTTGTTCATAGAATAATGTTGACCCCGTGTGGCTATGAGCATTTTCAGGGTCTGTAACGCGCGACGCGGCACGAATCTTCTTACGGAGGTCTGTAACGGAGGTCCTTGTTACGCAGGTCTATAACGGCAAAACATTTCTTGACAAGCAGTATCAGTATCACAATGTAGCGCAGAACAACGAAGAGCAGCAGCTCCTGCTCGAAAGTCGTACGGTACAAGCGCAGTACGCAAAGCACGCCTCCTAGATTGAAATTTGCAACTGCCGACACAGAGCCACGAGATGGCAAAAAGGGGGGTCACTGGCCCGGGCTGGGGTTGGGTCTGTAACAAGGTATGTAACTGCTATGCAACGAGGTCTGTAACGAGGCAAAGCAAAGCGCAGTACGCAAAGCGCGCCTCCGCAGCTTCAGTTTGATTGCAGCTACTCAACGCAAGCCAAGCGGCGGCAAAAAGCGGGGGTCGCTGGCCCAGGCTGGGGTTGGGTCTGTAACGAGGTATGTAGCGGTTATGTAACGAGGTCTGTACCAGCTATTCAACACAAGCCAAGCTGCGGCAAAGAGGGCGGTCACTGGCCCGGTTTGTTCATCTGAGGTGTGTAACGAGGGTGTGTAACGAGGGGTGTGTAACGAGCCAGCGGGTCTTGTTACAGAGGTCTGCGACGAAGTCTGTAACGAATGTCCGCTGCGGCTCTGTTACACACCCTGCCACATTTCCTCCAAAAGAGGTCTGATTCCCCACAAAACCCAGGGACACCCCCCTATTAACAAACTGAGGTTGATTAATTAGGCCGAAAAGGCAATGCTTGTAATCACCCGTGAAGGGAAATATAGGGAGCCCTGGTCGCTGAGCGACCGAGAAAGCGATCCAGTGACCTTGACAACGCTTGCCGGCTGGCCCATCTCTTCTCGGCCACACACCGCCAAAACCTTCTCACCCCACCTCCCCTGGCCACTCCATAAAACTCGCAGTCAAAATATGCGGTTGCCCGTGGTGGCAAAGGGGCAATCAGTGATTTATTCTGCTTGTGACAGACTTGGCGAGTCTCTCCAGAGCTGATCAGCATCTGCAAGCGCCCTGACATTGAAATTATAGGGCTCATTCGACTACCATGGAGCCTTCGGAGCTGCATCAAAATTGGACCAACCATCAGCTCAATAAGGGTTGAAGCCTATATGTGCCATGGTCAAAACTCCCTAAACATGGCCGATTGGGTCATGGTTCACTTAAGGAATCATTTAGGATTCTGGAAAAACCCAGGTGGATGGCCATCCCTGCTAACTCCAAGTGCAGATCAGAGATCCTTACATTATACACCTGAACATTGCCTTGTACATGGTGGTGTCCCTTTATTTTGGTGGAAAAAGCAATGTTTCAAACAGGCAAAATGTATCTTTTAAGGAGCCCTGCTCAGATCCAAAAACCTAGAATACAAAAAGCTCCAGGCCGAGGCCGGATGGCCTTCATGTCTTGAAACTCAGCCATGGGTCGCCAGTCCACAGTCTGAACAAGCTGTGTTTTTTCACAATGAGAAGGATCCCCGTGGTATTGAAAGGGAACTCCAAATTGGAGCCCAGAAGAACAAAAAGGGGAATCCCATTTGGAGAAACCTATCGGGGACCCATGTGAAGGGACCAAGGAACCGAATTTGAGAGAACCACTTGGGGGCCTTTCGGAGCCTTGAGACTCCCAGGCCTTGCAGCTCACAACATTGCCATAGGCGCCAAAGAGCTCTGCCAGACTCTTCTCGTCAATGGCCCTGGGCAAAGAATTTCCGAAAAGGGACAGATCCCACGTGCTGTGCTAGAAGTTCCTTCCATTTCCATTCTTTCCAGGGATCCGATTTTTTTCAGGAAACTATCCAAAAACGCAGGGGAAACGGATCCATTTATTGAAAAGAACGATGCTTGAAAAGAAATCAAGCCCTAGAGCTGTCTCCTCCATCTCACTGGCGGAGTGCTAAGCCAAAGACGCTGAAAAACCCAGAGTTATTCTACCCCCGAGGATGCAACCAGAAGCTTGGTTGCTGTTGACCCCCCTGCCAAAAAGACTGTTTGGGGGGTTTGGCGGAAAACCCCTTGATTTCCCCAAAAGTTAAAGTCTAAAGATCCAACCCAATAGCAGTCAAGTAAGCCTGGAACAAGTGAAACACGTTGACCCTGCCCGATCGAAGCTCGAAGCTTCCTCGTCGCGGGCCGCCGCACCTGCGCTGAAAACTTCCGACGTCGCGTCTGGACCTTTTGTGTGTTGACACGTACATCACGTCTCCGGGTACACGGATATGCCCCGGCTCCATGTGAGCCATGCCAGGCATGTTCACCACATATCCAGATACACAGTGGCCACGTCAGCTGAGTGTCACGCACGCATGTGTCAAATGGTATCCTGTCTTTGTAGATAGAACAGGTAGGCATGCACCGCGTGAAGGTAGTGCTCCATCACTGTCCGACGAGAATTGGCGGTGATCGCAGTCAACTTGTCTTCTTGCTGAGTGCTCCCGGTTGTCACACCCTGGCATCTTGACATAAGTAGCCATTTGGTCGCCCCCTTTTTGTTGAGGGTACCCATTTGAAGGTTCGCACAATTATGGGGAAGCTACCTATTTTCGGGTTCTTCTATTTTGAGACAAACACACAAAGGAGAGCACTGATATACCCTGCCAAAACGTACACCCCTGAAGGTTGGGTTCAGCGGCGGTGGGAACACATGAACATGTTTGAGTTAAGAGCCATTCTCGCTGGCTCACCCTCAGGCTGTTTGGGGCATGTTGGCTTTCTGAAAACCGCTTGAGGCATATGGGATCGTGTCAATATACACCCTTCTGGTTTTTTGAGGGGACAACTTACTTTGGATGCATATATCCCATGTATTCCTACAGGCCATTGCGTGTGTGGTATTGTCGAATACCTGCACGGCGGTTCGACCAGTTGAACTTCATCTTTGCGAGCGCAAATGCAAATATGATGCCCGCATAGACTGCATGGGCGTCATGGCCATGCACGCATTGCATCTTGAGCATGTCATCTCAGAACTTCCAGATGTCAACCGGTATTCATACCTGCGTTTCGTCGTCCAGGGCCAGTCATATGCCCAAAGCTATGGGAAAGATACCATGCGAAAGCGCACAGCACACATCAAGCATGCATAGCATATGCCGCGAGCCTGAGGTAGTGGCGACAGATGGCCATGGTTCAATATGACTAATGATACCGTTTTCTGGTGTTTCTTGGACGCGTGCCGCGGGTGAGATTCCATGTCAAAAAATAGGAAGCAACAGCATGAATCGAAGGCATGAATCGCCATGAAACTGGGCCTGAAAAGACAAATCGCAGCCAGATGCCTGTTCTACGGGCAGTATCTGTAAGATAGGCTGAGTCGTTCAAAATGTGGGATCCTACATCCGAAATGCGTAGGACAGCACTACAACAAGGGAACCGCTACCATATAGCATAAGGATTGAGGAAATTGACTTTGAGCAACCTAGATAGATGGATTCCTGAAGAATTTGACAACCCATTTGGACATATGTCCGATTTAGAATGATTGACGTGGGAAGCTGCGAAGGCCTGAGGACCTTGTTCAGTGCATGCCAAAGAGACAAACAGAGTTTCGAAATGGTGGACCCCGAATGGAATTTAAAGGGAAACCAAAAGGAAGCCAAGCATTTTAGGGGACCCCTAATTTGAAATTCATCCAAATGTCACTACGCGTTTGCATTTTCGTCCAAACTTTGACCCGGAAAAAACTGTGTCAAACGGAAAACGGCCATGGTCCGACTCCAAAAACGGTTGCGATGCTCCCGGGCTCTTTTCATCAATGGCGTTGATTGAAGATTTGAACCGCTGAGCTCAATTCACCGGTCATTCTGGGTGAAAACTGCTCATGGCCCCCGAAAAAGTTGACCCAAGATCTAAGTAGACCCGTCCCATTAGGGGGGTGTTCCCTCCATAAGTGGTCTGAGTCCAACCACTAGAAGGGACCCCCCCTATTAATCAAAATCCACCAGGGGTTCTACTTAGATCCCAACCCCATGGGGGCTTTTTGATGGCACGGATTCACGCGCATGCAATGAATGAACTCAAGCCAATGCACTGTTTGGATGTAGGCCTCGTTTGTAAAATGTATATGGCAGCAGCCGAAGATTCACAAGTCATTGAGTGGTTTGTGGATTTGTGCGGTTGTGACGCTGCTGTGTGAAAGAACCACAACCAGGTCTCGAGGGGCTTCCCTCCTCTTCAGATGTTCAGGAGGAAAGCAAGCTTAAGCGAAGACCCGAGAACCTTTTCAACAAACTCCTGGGGTCTACGTTCCAAGTTCCAAGTTGGAAGGCTCGTTGTTTCAATCAGGGCTCAGCCCAAAGGAGAATCGCCTAGAACAGGGCAACCAACATGTTGGGTTGACGGGGGGGGTTTGCCCGGACTTTCACGCTGCCCCGCGCATGCCGATCCTCGCGGCTGTCGAGGGGGGGGGGAGGGGGGGGGATGGAAAGAACACGAGTTACACGAGTCGATGTTTCCAGCATGTCGAGGCCAACCTATGTTTCAAACTAGTCGGTCCCGAGCCCCCAGCCCCACATTGTGGGACATGCCATGTGACGTCTCCACTTTCTGCGCGCTCTACGCGACTGCGCAATCCTATTTGCTTGTCTGACACGCTGCCACTTTGCCGCAGGTGGTTTTAGACACCTGGTGTCTAAGCGAACTTGAGACCTTCTTACGTTCGAAGGAGCTACCTTTCCGGATGCTGGTCTTTGTCTCCGCTGCACTCTCAGTACCGAGAAGGACCAGAAGTTCTGCCAGCAAGTTATCAGCGCAGCTCATGACTTGTCTGCTTTGCATATACAAGGCAGCCCGGCCTGGACAGCTGCAATGAAAGTGTTGGTGGCATTCTTAAGGGTCTCTCACTAAGAGAGTCAAGCCACAGTCCTGGAGCCTGCTTCGAGCAAATTAGAATGCTGCGCCTGCCAGCACGCACCGCGTATTTGAATCTGAGATTCGAATACGCGAAGTTGGACAGTTGCAGGCTTTCCTGTGATCCCACCGAAGCCACAATTCTCAGGAACTCGGGGAGTGAGTAAATAAAACGAGCGCCAAAAATTGGACGTGTCCTCTCTCGCTCGCTGGGCTGCCCTGCGGCAGCCCGGAGATATAGCAGTTGTCCGACGGGCCTCCCGACCGCAAACTCGGCGACTCGAGTCCGGGTTTGGTTTCTCGGCGACCGATCGAACATTTCAAGAAATCGCAATGCAAAAGCCCAAAGGCTGGGGTGGCTGGTTGAAGCCAAGGATGTAGCTGCTGTTACCCAATTCAGGCTGTACGTGCATTCTCTGCACCAACTCCAACGTTCCCTGAAACACCGGCAGCCATGTTGTCCACCTTCCATTTTGGGTCCTAAGCCCAACGGAGGGTACCCTGCTTTATTTCCATGTGCGTTAAAACACCCCCTGACAAAATGAGACTACATATTTCCACTAGTGAAATCGCTTCCCTTTAAAAGCAACAGGGTAAAATCAAAAAATATTCATTTCAGCAAATGGAAGCTTGCGTTTAAAAGAAACAATCGCGTATCGAGGCCTGCGCTGCCCTTGCCTCCTCCTTTGCCAACCTGCCATGGCTTCGACTCGGGAATCCCTTTCAGCCCGAGCTGACCGTTTGGTTTGCCAAGACGCTTCAGGTCTAGACAGGCCTTACAAAAGGTCTGAAATTGTCGTTTACCAGCAAAATGGTCCAAACCCAAAAAGTGACTAAAGTTCATGAACTCAGGGAGTGAGCTGGCCATGTCTCCATGAAATGAAAAAACGCCTTGGAGTCTTATTCGGGGTGTCACGAATCTCCAAAGCGGACATTACCCATCGGAGTTACATGACTTGGGTCCTCAAGAGTCCCAGATAAGAAGGCAGGTGCAACAGGCCATCCATAGCAAACCTTAAAGATGAATTTGCTCTTACGGACCTTGGTGGGTCAATTTGAGCATCATATATCGGATCCAATTTACAACAGTTTGCTGGGAACCCAAAAAGCTCACTCTCTCCCTTAAGGCAGGTGCAGAGCCGTGTTTCGGAATCTGGCACCTCGGAACACTGGCACTGTGATTACTGTGATTACTGAGCTTGCTGAGCTTAATGAGCTTGTGCTGAAGAAGGGCGTGCCTCAAATTCACGGACGGAAAACATCAGAAAGAGAAGGGGCCGGGTTCCGTCTGCCCACTGAAGCAAAGCTCTGGCATGCCCCGCATATGCTTTGGCCAGTGTGTGTGTGTGTGTGTGTGTGTGCGCGGTATATTCCTGACACTACCACCATCAAGTATACATACGCTTTGTCGTGTCTGCTGGTCACTCAACAAGGGGCGTCGCCGACGTCCTTCAACCCAACGATCTGTGAGCATCTGCAATGATACGTGCTGACTCGTTGTTCTGTCACCAAGTCACTGTGCAACTGCTCCAGGAAGCAACCAAACCCACAGGCCGGCTTTGGGATAAAACGGGCATAAATGTGTATTATATATATATATATACATATGTATGTATGTATGTATGTGCATTATGATTAGTATAAAACATATATATATATATATGTGTATATATATATATATCAATAATCCATATGTAGAAACAACGTCGTGCAAACACCAAACACACCCGCTGTCGGCAAGCTGTGACACGAGGATGGAAGTGTGTGGGTCCTGGGTCAGTCATGGCGTCCAACAACCATGGGATAAGAAACAAAGCAAGCTCCCAGAAAGTGTAGCCTTTGCCACCCGTATGGTAATCCTTAGTTGGTTTCGATTGCAATTGCGGGTTTTTTCCCTCTCACCCATTGACGTTGGGGGGCGGTCCTGGTTTGGCCCATGCTCCTTTTGAAGAGAAAGGTATCAGCAGAAGCTCTCAAATCAAAGCTCCAGATAGGACTTGAGAGGCTCCCAGCGTCCTGGGTTAAAGGGAACCCCTAAAATCCACAGGACAAGGACAAGTTCGCAGAAATGGGGGGGGGGTGTAGATGTTCGCCGTTTTAACCTTGGCGTAAAAGGAAACGAAAAGGAAACAAACAACTTGCGGCAAAACCACATTTTGACACATTTGCACTTCCATGTGCTTCTTCGCCCCCTGGACAAATGAGAACATGTGTCCAGTAGTGAATCGATTCCATTTAAGTTTTGCTATTTGCTTTTAAAGACATATTCATTCCAGCAAGTGGAAGGTTAAAATGGAGATCCCACTAAACCCTGAAAGCTAACAAGCTAAGGAACCGGATGGCTGAGAGCCAAGGAAACACATTTTCTGCAGCTCGACACCTTTTGCAGACATTTGGAACATTTTTCCGCCGGAGCCTGCGGCTGCACCTGGATTGCCGTGTACTTGTCCTTCCCCGGATTCCACTCCACGGTGCAGCTGAGCGGCATACCTCGTCTGAGGGCTTGCGCCCACGGATCGATCACCTACCTCCCATGAAATAAGCTAATTAATTAGAATTGACAGGCTTCCTTAACTCGGTTGCTTTCTGCTCCCCTGCTAAAAGTGACTACCTTTTAGTGGGTTAAATGGAAACTACCACTAAACACTAAAAGGCTAAGTAGCTAAGGAACCGGATGGCTGAAAGCCACCAAGTTCAGAGAACCTGTTTGCTGCGTTAAACCCAGAAGTTTCCATGGCTAGAAGGAAACCCATGGTTTTCAAGGTCATGCTTTCCGCTTTTTGGTTTTCGTGGTACATCTGTGAATCAGCGTCTAGTCTCTGGAGGCCAACCCCGAAAAAATCGAACACTCGGCCCTTGAAATCCCAACAGGGCACCGAAGTGCACTCTTGGACTTCTTTGCGACTGTGAAGAAACAGTGGCTTCCCCACATGTTTTTTTTCTTAGGTGGTGCGAGATGGTTTTTGTTCATCCACCGTATGTTGTGAATAATGTTTCATCCAGCCATCAATTTCGAACCCGACCCCAAACGAATCACCAAATGGAATCGATAAACACCGAGAATGCACGTTTGGAGGTGGCATCCCATGTACCCAGAACAGGAGTTCAAACCCCCCCAATCATCGGTCCAAACCAACTACATACAGCCCAGCAAAGAGTGCCCGATATTGTGCCCCGCAACAATGTTGCATGAAGCATGTCCAAATGTGCCGCTACAGTAAATAGAATCCGTGCGCGTAGCTTTAAACATCACCGTCAGCGCGAGGGGCCCTTGCTCACTTCCTGAGCGCATGGGCCAAAAAAGTCCAAACTCTTCATTCACCACAAAAATGGTTTTCCCAAAACGCTTAAAGTCCTGGAATTCAGGACGGAATTACCATCCTGTGTGCTTTTCTGGGTATCTTCCGAGGATCGATGTGTTTTACCGAAATGCAAGCAACTGACCAGATTTCAGGTAGTCCCTTGTTGGTGTAAAAACGAACTCTCTTGCCCACTTGCTCAATTTTGGGCAGGGGACTGCTAGGGTTTCTCTTTAGACCATCACAAGGTTCCTTACCTTTCGGGGATCATCCGACGCAGAAGCATTTGCTAGGATGGTTCCCGGCACACCCATAACACACGTCTTTATGAGCGAAACCTGGCAAGTGAGGAGCAGAGCAAACAAAAAGAAACATCACCTGCGGCAAGAGGTGAAACCATGCTGGTGTTCTAGTTGCTTACACTTAAAACCCAAACACCTGTGCCAGTCATTGCCAAACATGAAACACTAACTGATCATGCAACAAGAACCATCTACCAAACAACACATGCTTGATAACCACCACACATTTGTGTCTGTGTCAAAAACTCAGGGGACGCGTGCTGTTGTTCCGTTTGCTTTCCCTTTAAACCAACCGAAACAACGGGTACCTCCCCCGTCACCTTGGGGTCACCTTCAGCCCCCCTGAAGCTCTAAAGCCATCTTAGGCTCCCCCGAAAGCCCTCCCTTAAGGTTACCTTACAGTCCCGAAGGCCCGCTTTAAGAGCCTGGGCCCACTCGAAACACCAACGGCCAGGGCCCTGCCATGAGCCGAGGCGCCCTCTTGCATCATGAGGCCCGGGGGCATGGCGGTACGGCCCACGAAGGCGTCGCCCATGCCACCGGCCAAGGTGATGAAACCTGAAACGGGTCATGGGGAAAAACACACATGGGTGGGTGGGTGGGGTAGGGTGGGGTAGGATGGGGTAGGGTAGGGTAGGGTAGGGTTGGGTAGGGTTGGGGCTGGGTGGGTGATTCGACACTACTTCCGAAACTCATCCCCAAGTAGGGGACTTGAATGGCGAGCTCGTTGTGCCCAAAGTGAGCTCGCCATAAATATGTACCTGAAAAAATAGCTAAAATGAAGAGAAGCGGGGGCACCAAGGGGGGGATCCATATATATATATATATATATACAAAAGGGCTAAGCTCCCCCCCCAAAAAAAAACGTACCTTTTGACAAGCTTGTTTGGTATCTTGCAGACAGAAAAGATGTTTTCAAGAAGTAGTGGGTTGCTTGCAGGCACAGAAGACATGTTCAAAAAGTGGCGGGTTCGTTGCAAACAAAGAAGATGTTGTCCAGAGATTGCACTTGAAGATCCATTGTGGAAGACAGCGCTCCAAGCATTCGCAGATGTTTTTGTGGTAAGCAATTGGTTTGCATTGGAAGTGTGCGCAGTGGATGACTTTATATATAGCTGGCACTTTTATACCCCCGTGCCTTCTCATCATACTAGACATTGGCCATGTGCCATTTGCACAAGCACCAGTGGCTACCCACAAATCACTACTCATGAGCCAGTACTCGTACTGGGCAAACCGAAGCTTTGCTTTCATCAAAGCGACCCCACTTTGGAACGCTGGTTCAGCTCAGTTTTGCTCTTCAGGAACCTCCACGCGCGGTTCACCTTGAAGCGCTTCTTCGTCTGTGGGTCTTTGTGGGAGATGATCTTGACGTAGGTCGGCATCTTCAATTTCCAGGATCCGTTTACCTTGACACGCTTGTTGCAGTGGATCACCCTATCATGCAGGACGCCCTCGACCTTCAACTTGTAGGACTTAGCGCTGTCGGTGCGCAGCACAACCTTCCTGCCCTTGAGAACGCAGTTGGCAATGGGTGACCACTCAACCTTCCTGATTGGGCCAGGACCAGGCGCCCTTTGCCGGACATCTTGGGCTTCAGCCTTTGCAGATAAGCGTGTCTGGCCGGCCCAAACAAACAACACCACACCACTGTTCCCAATCCAAAGGGCACGGGATCAGCGGCCAGATCACCCAAGTCAGTCTTACTGAACGTGGTCTCGTCGGCCTCCACCCACCCAGTCCTTGCCATTTCCAAGGACCTCAATGACCTTGTGGTTGAGGCCGAGCAGGCAATGGATGACAGAGTGTGGAACATGGTTCAGCAACAGCGCATTTGCAAGAAGGCCTTCTTCACAGTGTCACTGTTGCTGGCCACTGCGTAGTTGATCTGCAAGATTGAGAACCTTCATGAGTCCCAATGACACGAAGACAGTGGAATGAAGACGGTGTGTTTGCCATGGAGCGTTGGAGGTGACCAGCTGTAGGTGACAAGCTTCGCCTAGTGCATCACGAGGGCGGACCGAAGGAGGCAAGGAGGACACCGCGGAGGGATTGTTCGACATAACCTTGACGATTTGGCCCCGCTCAGCTTGGGAGACATCTGGCACGATGCAAAAATTCCCTTCGCTTTCTTCCCCTTGCCACTCAAAGGAATCAGAGGGAGATCGGCAATGGTGAAGTTGCCGTTGTCAACGTGGATGTGCTTCCACCCAGCCAGGTACTGGATGTACTTTCCTTTAACATGTGCCATGCACTGGTCCATGGCTGCCTTAGGAAAAGGAATGCTACAGCAGAGGCTTGAACACTTTCACAACAAGCTACAGCAAAGGCGGCTCATGAGTGGCGCATGTACCAGGGCCTTGTATCAAGACACAAAGCACAAGCTTCACACCTACCCTTCTTTTCACACGTGCTCTGCGCTCTGCAGCCAGAGGCTCGTATTGCCTCTTGGCAAGCTCTCTTTGCAGCTGCTCATTTTCCATCTTCAGTCGCTTTTTGGCATGCCACAGCTGACAGTTCTCGTCTTCCTGAGTCTGGGCCACTGAGTCCTCTACAATCTCGATGTAGTCCCGCATCTTCTCCAATTCGTTCTCGTCCTCCTCCGAGGATGTGGAAGAAGATGAAGAGGAAGATCCCGATGTAGACAAAAACTGTTGCGGGGCATCTTCATGATGTGAGGCTTCAGCTGGGTCATCTTCATGATGTAAGGCTTCAGCACGGGCCTCCTCATGACGCGAACCTTCAGCTGGTGCATCTTATATGGCAAGCCGTTGCGCTCCCCCTTGCCCAGCTTTGGGAGTGAGTAGCCATGAAGAGAGTGCATCCTGCCCGGCTTGAGCTCATCCACCTCGCACACCTCGCGGCTGGATGCCCATCCTGGATGGCGTAGATCTTTTGCGCCAGCTCTTGGGGTTGTACTTGGCGACGACTCGCGTGGGCAGCCACCGTGCCTTCCCGGATAGACTTGGACATGTCCTTGGCGTTTGGAGGAAGTTGTTGCTGCCGTGCTGGGTGCAGATGCATTTGATGGCAACCTCATACGCAAGCACACTTCATCCTGGCAAACCTGGATCGACGCGTTCGTGTTGAAGATAAGCCTTGGGGCCAGAAGTGACAGATGGCAATCACTAAAGAAAGTAGAAAAGAGGCAGAGCTATAGTGGGGGGCGGGGGGTGTGGCAAGTCTTTTTGTTCTGGTGAAGGGGGGGGGGTCTTGGAGCGTTGGAGTGCGGTGTGAACCTGCGGACTTGCCCCAAGACTTGCCAGCCCACCCACCCACCCCTTCCCAAGACTCAAGACTTTGCTAACCACCCCCCCCCCCCGGCCCCACCACTCAAGGCTTGGTCAGTGCATCCATCCAAACATCAAAAAATGTTGCGCAACATGTTGCACAACATTTTGTCTGACAGTTTGTGTAACATGTTGCAACCTCGAACTCACAAGGTGGAATCCATATCAAATCATGAACCCTGCAATGCCAAAAGACACTTATCAGATCATGAACCCCGTATGCATCTCAGCATCTCAACATCCTGAACTAAAGCAAAACTCAATCCTGCCACATTGAATGCATAATGTGGCAAACTGACAAGATCACATCCATGTGCAAAGGGAAATGCAAAATGACATGCTCGAGGAGACCCTGACTTTACTGAAAATCACTGGACATTTACAGTGTTTTGTGGAGAGGGTAGCTGTTGGGGGGGGGCCGGCCTACCATATACATATTATATATACATATATATATATATATATATGTATGTGTGCATGGTTCATAAGGGAAATAGATAAGGCGGTAGGGCTGCTCCTGAGTCTGTGGACCCAACTCATGTCCCATTTCATTTTAGCCAGGGGAACAAGGGAACCCACTGATCTTCTGCAACTTGAGATCTAGAAATTCATTTTTGCAATTTGTTCCCAAACCTTCAAATTTAAGATAACTTCTTTACAAAAAAAAAAAGCCAATCAATCACACAAAGGGAAGGTGCCCACAAGATGAACTAATCCTCTTTAGTGTGACTGCTTTGGGGTCCATTTAATGTCCAACCGGTTTTGGGGGGTTGCTGAAATTCGCAATACTAAAGTAGAATTGGCAATACTAAAGTAAGTACTGTCCCTCCCAGACCCCCAGGCTTTCCACTAAAAAGGGTCCAGCTGACTGGTTGCACTGTTCAGGCGGGGGGAGGGGGCCGTGTAAAGAGGGTCCAACATGTCGCCCCATCTCGTCTGACTGCATGAACAAACAAGCACCTCTCTTCGCAAATGCCCTTCCACTGGCCAAATGCTTCGTGTGTCAACTCACGCGCTCCCTAACATCCAGGTAGCCGAAGCCCTTGTCCTCAAACCACACCTGGGCAAAATGCCAGGGGCTAGGGGTACCTGACCAATCAGAAGGGCCAAGTGGGCTGATTCCCGCCCCTCCTTGGCCAGGACTCGCTAGCTTTCCCGCTCATGAGCTTCAACAAGAGCTGACCAAAAAAAAGGGGCCCCCTCACACCCAGCAAACTGGGGGCGGTGATTGAATGTGGAGGGTTGTCAAACACATATGCTCGAGCTTTACAAGGCAGCACCAGAATGTTGCAATGCGGGAGGTTGTCAACAATACAAGCCCTGTTTGTTACTCCCTCTACGGAACCGGCCACATTTCCGACCACCCGAATGGGTTTCTGCAGGACAAAACTTGCCAACATCTTCTGCAGATTCTGCATGGCCAGTCACGGGTGGTTGGCAGTCGGCCTTCCAAATTCGGAGTATTGGCCCGAAAGACTCCTAGGCGCTACAAACTCCTCATTCGCGTTCCTCACTTTTGCAATGGAAAGCCCTCTCACTTCTAGGCTGTCTTCAGATCCCCTGCTAAAAGTTTAACTTTTAGTAAAAGCCAAAAAACTAAGGAACCGGATGGCTGGGAGCAACCAAGAATTTACCGTCAAAGTGAGCCCTCAGGTGGGTATGATTAAGGGGCATTGGCGGACATCGGTGGGGATTTATGTCTGACCTCTTTTGAGGCTCCCAAGAAAACATCCGCCAGACGGGTTTCAAGGAAAGCCTGTCAAACTCATTGGCCAGGGGCAACACGGCCAAGGAAACTGAAGCCGAGTTCCACTTCATGCGATATACAGGGACACCATGAAGGGTATATACCGGTATGTAGCCGGAATTCCGTTGCTGGTTTGGGGTAGTGGACACCATAGACTGACAACGGGGTATGCAGAAAAACACTTGTTCAAATGTTCTGTTCTTTCATATTTAGTCTCCCTCTAATTCTAGAGAATTTCTAGAGAATCCTGTTGGAGTTGTCAGCTTCTCTTTTACGCCTTGTCGACCCACGGTACGTGGTCAGTAAGCTTGGTTGGTTTACCTGAACGGAGACTGACAAAACCACGGCTGTGGGTTATCTCACCAGGCTTAACAACCACTCACGTACACCCACATGTTGGCCACCAACGCATCTGCAGCCCTGGCCTGAACAAATCCAGCCCCAAACCAAAGTCTGAGGAGCATGGAACTCCCAGTTCCTCCATTTGCTAAAGTCCCCTGGAAAGAAACAAATGTCCAGTAGTGAACCCGATTCCCTTTAAAACCAGTGGAAAATATAGGATGTTCTTCAATGGAACTGCTGAAAGCGTAGATGCCCCTTTTAGGCGCTCCAAATTTGCCCCAAAACGCGCCAGCCCCTTCGCGCCTTCAGCGCGCCGCTCACCTGGCCCGGCTGCTGCTGAATTCCCTTGCCGCCGCCCTTCACCAGGCCCTTGGGAGCCGCGTCCGGACCTGGCTGATGGGGCCACGGCCCGGTCGCAAGCCCCATTCATAGCCTTGCCCAGCTTGGCACCTGGAAATAGAAGGTGGTCATCTTATGACTAAAAATGGGAACCCAAAATAGGAAAGCCAAATTTGGTCAGATCCGGTCTAGACAACAAATCCTCCTTTGCTCATTTGCAATGTGGGTGTCTCTTGTTTTAGGGGATCCCCCCAAAGAAAAACGCAGCTTCCCTGGTTTGGCGGTTCAGCAGGGGTGTCCCATGTACCCTCCATCTACAATAGCCAGCGGTTCAAATCCCAAAGGGGAACCTGAAAAATCGGTTTGCCGCCAAATCCACCCCCACCCCCCAAAAAAGAGCACAAAACGTGGGTTAGAGCCTGTAGAAGGTGCTTGATGGGGGGTCAAGTACTGGTTCCGCTTGGCTTCCCTTTAACCATACGGATGGAAATCCTATCAAACCCTGGTTTCTCACGTTTCCCTGGAACCCTAAAACTTCCGATGTTTTCGCTGGAACTTCCCCATGGAACATCTCTCCCCCAAGACAACCACGGGCTCAACCGCTTCTCTGCTGGCGATCACTGGCTTTCGCAAACCCGCGCCTGGCACAGCTCCCGCAACCGCCTGGAAAATCTCACTGAATCCCGAACGAGTGGATGCGCAAGTCACAAGCGGAATCTATGTATATGTATATATATATATAGGTATACATATATATACTTATATATATACACCTATATATATATACTTATATGTATATATATATATATATATCACGACCGCGCCGTTTATCGGCCTGAATTCATGTTTTTTGTTTTGCTAAGGTGCTGCGAGGAGCTTACCTCTGATGCGAGAGAGAGAGAGAGAGGGATAATCTCTTTATATATGCATATGTATCATATGGTAGCCCATTATTTACTGGACATGTCAACCAATTTCGGACTGATTCACGAGATATACTGGGCTGCCCGTTTAGTGGGTTATGTTCGGAGAAAAACAAAAAAAACAACCACTAAACCAACTAAAAAGCCAAACAGCTAAGGAAACGGATGGCTGGGAGCCACCAAGAAAATGGTCCAAACTCAAAAAGAGTTTGGAATGTCCAGGAACTTGGAAAGTGAGAAAATGGAATCCCAGGCGTCACCCAATTCCATTGGTAAGGGGATAGTTGTTCGTTATCCTTTCGGATTCGCGTTGAAAGCAATCAAAACGGGGGATCCCAAAAAAGGCACTCAACACTTTCCCCTTTTCTGGGGCGAAACGGCATGGAACTTCGAAGTTCGTTCGCGGGTCCAAGAACCGCAGCAAGAGGTTTCTTCTTCGGGGCCAATCGTCCAAGAGCAGGTTGGTGGTTCTCAAACGCTAACCAGAAACATACACACGATCATGGCCAAGAAACAACATCGACTGGCGAGAAGCAGCGCAAAGTGGCACGTCTTCAATCCACTCTTCTCACTTGCTGCCCCAAAGAGCGAAACATGAGCATAGCTTGCAGATTCCTCAGATGACAAAAGTGGCCATGGGACAAAAAGGGCATCCTTTTTTGCATGGCTGACTTTCAAGGAGAACCCTTCCCCAAAAAAAGGCAAAGAAAACGGGCGCTGGGCAACAGAGAATCCCTCATTCCCTCACCCTCACTCTCGCGCGGCGCGAGCCTCGGCGACTGGCTTCCCCTTCTCAGGGTCGAAGCCAGGTTCGAAGCTCACCTGCAGGCCCAAGGGAACCCACCCAGAGCCGCACGAGGGGCAGGGGGATACCGCACGGGGGGGGGGGGGGCGGGGCACTTCCAGCTATCTAAGTATCTCGTCTTCCAAAAACCAACAAATGGAGCCACACATGGAGGTCTCCAGAGTTCACCCCCTCGAGCAATTCCATTAAGGGGTGTCATCGTGGACGTCCGGGGGCGGGGGGGGGGGGGTTGGCACCAGGTGAACCCTGCTTGAGGCGGATTTCCCGAAAGGAAACAAACCATCGGGAGGGGCTACCCGCTATGTGAAAACAACATGGACGCTTGGGTCGGTAACGGTCAAGAAATGCGAAGAAACACAATTACTCTAGGGGTTGATTCCCAAATCTTTTCAGCCATGGTTCTTTTCAAAAACCAGCCGTTTCCCTGGGATTCCGGAAGTTTTCTAGAAAGAAGAATCCCTGGAAAGAATGGGGAAGGCAGGCCTTGTTAAATCCCAACACCTTTGGCTTTCCTCAAACACCACAACAACAACAGGCAGCCTAACAAAAAATACGCACCCAGTTCATCCAACTTTCGCTTGCGCTTTGGTGCGCTTTTCCCTTGTCTTAAACCGGACAGGGAAAACAGCTTTCGGGGCCTCGAAGCGGCCCATTTGAAGCCTTCCATTTGCTTAAGCCCACTGGAAAAAAAAAACACTCTATATATATATATATATGTCCAGTGGCGAAACCGATTCCCTTTAAAACCAGCAGAGAAAAGAAGAAAAACAAACATTTCAGCCTGAATGCAAGAAGCCCCCAAGCACCCCCTTGCGCGGGCCTTGGATCCCAGCACCAAGCTCTGGCCGTCCAGCAGCTTGCTGCGGTGCACGAAGACGTCCGCGGAGCCGTCCGCCGGCGCGATGAAGCCCATGCCCCGGCCCTCGATCCAGGCCTCGCGCCCGCGCCCGCGCCCGCGCCCGCGAGCGCCCGAAAGGTGGCGTCGGTGTGCGAAGGGTGTCTGAGATGCCCAGTGGATTTCCATGGGAACAAAAGGGCGTCGTTTTTTTTTGGGGGGGGTGAGTTGACAGGGGAACCCCGCCCCCCAAAGAAAGGCAAAGAAAACGGGCGCCACTGGGCAACAGAGGGTTGGGGTGCGGTGGGACTTCGCGGGAGGCGGCGACGGGCGGCTTCCAACGCGGATGGTTCGTCTGTTGGGCCACCAAACGGTTGACAACCCACATTTAAAACGGAAAAGGCGGGAGGATACGGGGATAAAAGGGGGCGCCCGAGTGGAAAAGTAGGAAAAGGGCTTGTTCTTGGTATGGCCCCACCAACTGTGAGCACAGGTGGAACGATTTGGAGCATCTTTGTGCCCGAAATCGGTTTGGGACCAAGTGCAATTGCCTCAAACTGGTTTGAGGGAGGTTATCTAAAGTCGTTCTTTTGCCTTGGACATGACGGGCTGCCCTTGAAAGCAGTCTTAGGGGGGGGGGCGGATCAGTTTGCCACATGGCCATGGGTCAAAACCCCGTACCTTCAGTGAACATCCCAATCCCCACTAAAATAGATTCTAAAATGGGTGGTGCACTGAAAACCCCAAAATGGACTGAACCAAAATCCTTTTCCGTTGACCCTGGCCTTGACCACGCCGGGCTTGCCGTTGGGGATCACTGCCGGAGCCGCCATCACGGCCTTGGCCACGGGCTTGTTCTTCTGGGTGTCCCAGCTCGGCTCGAAGTTCACCTGCCGGGCGATGGATTTTCAGCTCACTCGTTGGTTTCTCAGATGCCCAGTGGCCATGGGAAAAAAAGGGCACCCTTTTTTGGTTGGTTGACTTTAAAGGGACACCTTTCCGGAAAAAAAAGGAACACAAAAAGAAAAAAAAGAAACAACAACAAAAAGGAAAAAAGGACACCACTGGGCAACTGGGGTTTGGATTGTTTTGTTAACATGTTGTGGGTCAAATGGAACCCGCCCCCGTCCCAGTCAACCCTAAAAAGCTCAAAAGCTAAGCAAAGGGGATGGCTGGGAGCCACCAAGGAACTGGTTTCCCATTCACGCGAAGAACCAGAGGTTAAAATCTCACCAATGACCAATCAAGGGCCACTCAATATAGCCAAGGTAAAAAAGGCACCCTCCAAGCAACACGCACTAAGATCTTCAACCTGCATCCATTTGGTATGATCTGACCATGGTGACAAGGGGCGAGTTGACAAACAAGTGGTTCCCCTCTTAGTCAAGAGTCTCATGTTGTAAGGGGACTAAGCCCCGGTTCTATGGTGAGATCGCCTACTTACTGGACACGGGCAAGGAGCACCCAAATATAATCCGTCCGTTTCTTTAATTTTCTTGACATAAGCCACGGAAAAGAGCCCTACGCCGCCCTACGCATGTTTCCCAAAGAGGTTTGTTGGTTTACAACAAATGGTGAATATTGACTGCTCACATGTCCCTTGCAAACCATAAACGGTGATGACGTGAACCTGTAAGGCCTGTCTTTGGGCAGTCTCCCGTCTATTTGTAAACCTGGTTTTGCACAACTGGCGTGTGCGTGACAAATTCTCCAACCAGCATTCCAGCCTCTGGGAATACCTGCAGTCCTTGGTTCACACTTCTGAATCTTCAATCCCGAAGAAACCCTGGGTTCTCACGGATTTTCTGTCTTGCCAGGTGTCCTTTGCGCCGCAATTCCCCTTCCTCCCCCCGCCTTGGTTGACGTTGGAAGGGGAGCAACAAGTTGATGTTAGCAGTCAAGTGGGGATTTCCCTCTAAGCATCAATACGCAAAAATGTAAAATGCTTCCCAACAACCACCCAAACGGCAAACCGCCGGCGAACGGCGAGGGCCTGGGCGCCGGGGACCAAAAAGGTCCCATCCAAGATGGCGCTGCGGTGCACGAAGACGTCCTCCGAGCCGTCCGCCGGGGCAATGAAGCCCATGCCCCGGCCCTCGATCCTGCGCGCTGCGAGCTTGACGTCCTTTTCACCAGAATGGTCATGTGAGTCATAATCAAAACCCGGTATTAAAATGGTCTACCCAGAACCCTGCAAAGAGTTAAGAAGGCGGCCGCAGCTATTTACGCTTGGGAATATCCCTTACTAACCTTCATCTACCCGGGTTTTGATTCTGACCCATGTGTTTTTTTGTTTCTAACCCCATATTTTTCTCAACCGCAGTTTTTAAAAGGGGGATGTTCCGGGCCTTCCAAGAGTCTGATTCCCCACGTTTTACCCAGGGAAATCGGAAGCCCCCCGATTCATAAGCTGGGGTTGATAAATCTGGGGTCAACATTACTCAGCAATTGCTTCTATGTACTCAGCGACATGATTGACAAAGAAGCATTTAGGAACTGCTTGTCCAATGAATCAGGTTCTATCAACTGGTTGAGAATAAGTTGGACCCAGGGAACAACTCAGCCACTGCATACTGAACCGACAAAACTCAAACGATTCCCCAAGAGGATGGGGCAACCTTACCGTCCTCAAGCCACCGGTAGACTACCCATGATTTTGTCAGTTGCTCGTATAATATGGGGTCTGTGGGGTTTGTTGGGTTTGTGGGGGGGGGTTGTGGGTTTGTGGGTTTGTGAGCTTTTTGTTGGGTCAACATTCATTTTGTCGCCAAAGTTCTGATATGACTTTGGTGAGTATATGAGACACGGTCAACATTCATTTTGTCGCCAAAGTTCTGACATGTGGCCATGGGTCAAAACCCAAATCAATCCCCACTAAAATAGGTTCTAAAATGGGTGCACCTATCCCAAAATGGGATCCCCTTGGTTTTGACCCACCATGTGACATTTTGATACCCTACCTGTCTTCGAACTAAGGGGACCGGGGTGGATTTCCTGGTGTCCCTTCAAAACCACGGGGACCCTAGGCTCGACAAGAGTCTGATTGCCTCCATGGCAACCGGAAGGACTGGGCCGACTACCACAATCCGAACAAGACCACCAGCCCAGTGAGTGCCCGCTGAAGAACAATCGAGCAAGAATCCACAAGCATACTCCAAAACAACGGAAAAACACCAGCCAACAGAAATTCATCCTCTAAAATCTAAAACTCTCCGAACAATGAACGCAAAAGAACCTGGAGGCCCGCAAATCATCGGAGAACTTGAGTCAAACAGGAAAAAGACGGCTTCGACATGATAAAAAAGACTGCCGTTTGCATAAGCCCCTTGCAAACAATGAGAACATGTGTCCAGTTTGAAACCGATTCCCTTTAAAGCCAACAGGGGAAAATAACACCTGTTCTTATTTAAAGGAAAAGCCTTGGGAAGCCAAAAGGATTCAAAAGGAGACTGGCCAGAGTGAGGTTCAGAACGCAGGCCAAGAAAAGGGTCTACGCGAGAACCAGAAAAAAAAGACCGCAGGTTTTAGTCTTTTCCATTTACCAGGGCAAGCCATTTTGGGCACGCGCTTATTTGACCCATAGCCCAATGGAAGAAAGGCACGCCGCCGGTCCAGGCGGTCACCGTGCCCTGCTTCCCATTCTCCAGGCCGCCGGCGCCGGGGAGGGAGTCGGCGAGGCTCATGGCGCCGCCGCACCTGCGACGGCCAGGTAACCACTGGGCCGCCCGTTTTCAGATCCCCGGCTTCAAGTGGCTGACTTGAGTGGGCTGAATGGAAACTAGCACTAAACCCTGGAAAAACATCTGAAAAGCTATTAAACCGGATGGCTGGGAGCCACCAATACAGGGTATTGGTTGAAAAACTACCAATTGTCATGGGACCTGACGTGCGGGTGTCACTTGAAAAGGACACTGGTCTTCAGGACCCCCCCGAACGTCAGGTTCCATGAGTGGGTTGAATGTGGAAACTGCCACTAAACCATCTGAAAACATCTAAAAAGCGATTGAACCGGATGGATGGGAACCACCGAGAACAAAAAGGGCCTAACCCCAAAGACTAACCCTCCATAAGCGGGAGCTGCCCTTGTATCACAGAAGTGGTTGGATAAACCCCGAGTGATCAACCACAACCCTGCCGCTATAGGCAGTCCGGTCGTTTTACCTCTGGGTTTGTATTCATCAACCCCAGTTTATTAACAGGGTGTCCCTGGGTAAAAAGTGGGGAACCAGACCACTTTTGGAGAGCACGCAACACCCCCTCCTATTAATAAACTGGGTATAGGGGTCACCATTCATGAGGAATTTTCACCTCTGGGTTCGAAATGTAAACCCGGAGGTACAACTACCTGGTTACCAACTATGACGGGATGGGTGGCATCAACCATATACTCTGGCAGCCACGCCAACGCGCACCGAACAGCCTCGGACTGCCTACACGATTGCTTTCCCCTACGCGGTATCTGCGGACAGAGAAGCAGCTTCCTTCCAATTTGTGGCTTGGTGCTTCAGGAGGGGTTTCCCATCAACCCTCCACAAGAACGAGGGGTTCAAATCCCCAAACCATCCAAACCACCAATCAAGGGTAACCTGAGAAACGGAGTTCCCCCGAACCACTAAGCAAATTGCAAGAAACAACTCTTGTGGCTCAATCCAAATGGCACCTAAAATGGAACCAAAGACTGAACCCTGCGGTTTGCCCTAGCTCTCGTAATTGTTTGTGCCACACCCACACCCAACAAGGGCAACCCTCAAAACGGGGTAGCCCTCACTCTCACTCGCCAGGGCGCTTGGTGGCGATGGGCTTGTTCTTCTGGGGGTCCCAGCCGGGTTCAAAGATCACCTGGTCCAATAAACGTGGCGATTGTCGGCCTTGATTTTGGGTGCCGAATAGGGTGTCTGGAAGCACCAAAAACTGATACGCTCCGTGTCCGCGGGATTCCATTTCGGGGGGGATGTTCAATCACCAAACTGTCGAAATTCGGGGCTGTGGTTGGGCCTAAGCCCAGAGACTAACTCCCATTAAAGGGCTGATTCCCTTGTATCACAGAAGTGGGGATAAACCCCGAGTGATCCCTGGGTCCCTTGAATGATGGATAGAGATAGGGGCCAGTGAAAAACAACTCACCCTAGCTGATTTCAAGGATCCCTTGCAAAAAGCAGTTTTTAGGGGATGTATCCTTTATCTCCTTTTGGCCTCCTTTCAAAGGCAGCAAAAAGTTGGTTGTTTAGCTGGGTGCCGAATAGGGTGTCTGGAAGCACCAATCACTGATACGCTCCCTTGGAATTTCATTGGGGGGGGGGGGGCGGGATTCTTTGTTGGAAATTAATAGGGGCCATCTGAAATTACTTGGGACTGGCCTTACACTTGTTCAGGCTCATGTTACTTCATGTCAGAAAAATATAGCTAACTGGACCCCCCTGAGTCGCGTGTCATTTCCTAATCTGAATCGTTTTGCAAGTGTTGTGGCATTATACACTAACCACTCCATAGAACTCACCCCGCTCCATTCATATGAGTCATAACCAGGGTACCCCAGCACATTCTAGGAAACCATGGCAATCCAAGATGTGCGAGAAAATGCGAAAGACAATTAATCGGGGGACCCTATATACTTGCAATTAACTTTGTCTTGAGAAATCTTGGGATCCCAAGGTTTTTAGACAACCTTATCTTTCAAGGGGACCAGGCTGGGATCCATTTTCAAACCTCCAACCCTATAAATGGGTGCTGCATACCACGAAACGGCGAAATGTAGGGAACCAAGCACCGAAACGCGAAGAATTGCTGTGCCATGGTATACCCAACCATCCACCAAAAGGCGAAATATAGGGAACCAAAAAGGCTAAAAGGGCAATATATATATATATACATATATATATATATATACATACATATATATATATAGCCCAGCGACTCCTAGCAACCTATAGCTTGTAACTAGCTACTGTCGACAGTTTTTTGGGGAACCAGGCTTGGTTCCCAAAAAAGTAGGAACCTGATTCCTGTCTAACGGTGGTAACGGTTTCGGCCCGTATTTCACGGTTCCGGGCCTCTTTTTGTCACAGTTCCCGGCCCGAATTTCACGGTTTCGGGCCCGTCCTTTGTGGTTCCCGGAACCAGCGGTCAGTGAGCAATATGGCAGGTAACCAGCTGGTTCCGCAGATGGAGGTAACTGGAAGCACTGGGTATATATATATATATATTCTACCAAGGTCAAAAATAGGTGCCCAAACTGGGTTACCCTGGTAGATGGAAGGACTAAAACCTGCGGTCCATATCCTGGTGGTTACATTTTGACCCATACCCAAATAAGCCAAAGGCTCATGCCAGTTTGCACTGGCTATATACATATATACGTATATATATATACACACATATTCTACCAAGCCCCAAAGGGCGACCATATAGCTAGGCTGGAATTAGGACCACAGCAAAAAATAATAAATCCTTTTTGCCTGGTGAGTGGAAACCAAAGGGACCCAAAAAAAGCAAAAACAACTACAGAAATGGGAGCTATTTTTTTCTGGGGAAGATAGGGGGTTTCCCCAAAAAAAGCATTTGAACTCCACAACCGGGGGGGTTGCGCCGCCGCCTCAGAGCCCACCACCAGAGACGTGCCGTCCACCAGCGCGCTGCGGTGCACGAAGACGTCCGCCGAGCCGTCCGTGGGGGCGATGAAGCCCATGCCCCGCTCCTCGACCCAGGCCTTGACGGTGCCTGCTCGCTTTGACGCTAGGAACAGACACGGGGAGCAACAAGGGATATAAATATAGAACAATATCTACACATGTATAAATAAATACATATATATATATAATATGTATAGTAACCCCTTTCTTGGAGTTCATCAGATTCTCTCGAGTATTCTTAGACTCTCAGACCACCAACCGCTTTTGGACTCGGAAGGACGCACGTCACATCGATTTGGACCACGGAATCGGATTCCTCCAGGTGCCCGAGGCCTCTTCGACGTAGGGCAAGACGTGGACCAGATAAATCGAGAGCAACTCCCAAAGCAAAAGCTCCGAATACATGAATTTACAAATACCACAATACCACCGAAATACATAATTTAATGTAGGTTACCTACATTGTAGACATGATCCCCGATTCTTCTAAATGCCCCCCGCCCCGGATACATGAACCTGGATTTAATTAATCTTGGGGTCCCTTTCTGAGGCTGTGGCAACTTTGGGAACTAGGAATCCCACCACCTCAACCAGGATTTCCGAAAGTGTCCACCGAAGAAAGATAGAGCCAAGATCAACATGTCACGAGTTGGAGCTCCAAAAGCATAGTTGTATCTGGTGGAACCTATATCCTCTGTTTTCTTCACGGGGTAGGTGCAAGGCCGGATATGTTCGAACCCTGGAACCCTGGAGTGATACCCTGCAACACGAGCGGGCGTGGTTCCGCAGGATGTTGGTTTCAAAAACGGTTGGGCTCTGACCAAAGATCCCGGGTGAGAAAACCGGGAGGGGGTGGCTTGGTCCTATCTCATCTCAACGTAGAGTCGGTACTTTTTTCGGGGGTTGGAGGGAAACCACAAGGACCACTGATTTCGGGGGTCCGATTTTTCACGTCGACGCCTTTTTCGGCTCCGACCAAAAATCGGCACTCTGCCTGTTTGGCCCTCCATGGGTACTTCAGCCTCCATGCCGGATCGAGTCGGATTCGCCTTGGATCTCTATGTATCACGATGCTGTCGCTTCAATAGAAATTATGCTCGGGTAATCTTAATTTCGGACTGTTGACATCCAAGACTGATCCATTTTACGGCTGCCAATGTGTTTGGCAATCCGCAACCAGCCAACAAGAGCCAAAACAGCTCGGCGGTGGCACCACGGCTTTCCGGTTGACGGCGATTGCTTTCGCTCGCTGCAACTTGGCTCACATCTGGGGTGAGTACACAGAAAATCACCATGTTCTGACTCTGTTCCATATTTTAGCTTGCCATAAAACATGAACCGCTTTTGCAGGAGAGGCAAGGTCACTGAGTCTCTGGCTCCTATGCCAAAACCAGAATATCGGGCCAGTCCTTTTCGTTTCCTTGAAAAAACCAGCCCTCAAAGGATACCCTCAAAAAGGATGCCCAAGCGTTTGTTTGCGGAACAGTGCCCAAGCAACGCCACCAGCCCATAGCAATCAGAAACCAGAAACAAACCACAGAACCAAGGCCCAGCAAAAGGCCTCCCTCTCCACTAGCCATACTGTTAACCCCATATATTGAACCGAAAGTGGTCTGAATCCCCAAAAGGGGTCTGTCCCCTACAAATCGACCGGAGCCAGGGCATTAGATCCGGGGTTCCCAAACAAGGCCAGGGCCAAAACTTCCGAATGAGGCGCTCGCCACTCTGAGAGACCCCCACGTGCCGAAGCTCACAGTCACAGACAGCGAGCGAGCTATCTACGCCCGCCGAATAACACCTCGGATGGGCAGCCATTCCGCGGATGCAATTGGCTTGCTTTGATGCAAAGGAAGGCAACCTTGGAGCTGGGTATGTCTTTTGTACGCTTTGTAGGGGGGACCCCAAAAGATGGTGGGTTGACAATTGTGGTCTCTCTTAAAAGAAAAAACAAACAAACAGGGGCACGAAATCAAAAACGGACAATGTTGTGTATCATTCTTTGAACCGCCCATATTGCCTCATGTTGCACTGTGCGACATCAAGCTCATGCTTCTTTCTGCAACCACTCGTACCCAGGACTTGTGCTTGTTCGCAAAAAAGCAACAGATTGGACTGATCTTAGCAGCCTCAGGTGATAAGGATCCAGAAGTGGCCTAAAATTCAGATTCTACTTGTACTTAATATGAAGATACATACGTATGTATTTGGGTGGGCGAAGCGCATGTCCGGTACAGAATGCATGGACGCCCTGGTTTGTTCAAATGTGTGTTTCCCCTGTCATGGGAAATTGAGGGGGTCCCACATGTGCCAAATGGGAATGAATAAATAAGTAATCAATATATATATATATATGTATACACTATGTGTCAGTGGCAACTTTGCAGAGACGTCCTTCATGGAGACACCACACTCCAATCAACAAGGCGTCAACCTGCCTTAAATCTGCCTGCCAGAACAAACCAAGATTGGAAACGTGCGTCCCCTTCAAGCCCATAGCATCGGATTTCAAAGAATTGCATTGGTTGCATTGGTTGCTGGGCACCGAAAACATGTCGTGACGGCGACACCGTTGGGGGCTCCATCTGAAGGGGTCGCTTCCCCAACCTTCCCATAAGGACAAAAGCTAGGAAACCAAGCAGTTGGGTGTCGGTGAGTCCTGAGTTGGTTTACAGTCCCTCACGACCGAAGATTTCTTTGGCCGGGTCCTGCTCTAAAGACCCCGGTTACGGCCCCCAACATCCACTTGCATTCAGCCAGCTGGGCTCACCCGGCCTGATCCCTTGTTCCCGGCAGCGGCTGCACAGCCGTTTTGGCCTCGGATCCCGGAGAGAATCCTTTCGGAGGATATGGCCATGGGTAATGAAACGAGGATATGGACCGCGGGTTTTAGTTGTTCAGTTTACCAGGGTAACCCATTTTGGGATTACATGGCCATGGGTCAAAAGCCAAATCGTACCCTCAGTGAACATCCCAATCCCCAGTATAAGCTAAAATGGGTGGTGAATTCACCTACCCCAAAATGGAATCATTGGTTTTGACCCACAGCCACATGGAGACGGAAGTTCCCGAGTGAACAACCAGCTAAACTCGGGCGCATCTTCGTTTGGGTTGCTGCTCCCGTTGTTTGTTCGTCTTCTTTGTATTTGGTTTTGGGGTGGCGGGGGCCGGGGGGGTCGACAGAAACTAGCTGGAAACCCATTTGGGGTGCCACCATTTAAAGAAAAACCCAGTGGAAACAATATGAAAGTCAGAAAGGGGCAACCAAAAGGAAACCCTTGAGATGTCGCGTGGGGATGAGAATCGCGACAATCCCATGGGAGACAGTACATGATGCTGTGGTACATGCCGTTTGGCAAAAATGACGAGATGGAACCCCAAAGGGTAAAAGTTGGCCAAAAAGGGGAGTTGAGTCTGGCAATGTTTGAACCGGGGAACCTCATTTGTTTTGTCCAAAAGGTCACCAATGGAAATGCTTGTTCTTCTTCGACATTTGTCAATAAATCCCCCAGCTGTCTGTCACCGTTTCCAGTGGTTGCAGGTCTCCAATAGTGTTTCCGGGAACACGCTTTGGGATTTGACAAAGAAGAACAAGCATCTCCATAGGTGCCCTTTTGGAAAAATAGATGGGGTTTTCTGGTAGATGAGTATAAACCAATCAACACCCGTGCCATGTATTTCTACCCAAACTAACCTAAAAAGGACACCTATCAGCATGTCTGGGTTGCCACCAAAAAAAAAATGCTGCCAAGACTGCTAATGGGCATGGTCCTTCCATGTTAACTCATGGTTGTATACATTTCCTATGAGATCTAGGCAATTACTCCCAAGGAACCTCTATCCAGGGGCTTCGTTTGACCGCTTCCTTTGACCCCGAAAATCGCGCTGGAATCATGAGCGCCCCTCGCCCGTGCTTCTGTTCATGGTCAAACTGGTCAAACTCCACTTTCACACCACCTGGATTGATGAAACCGGTGGGTGCGTCTAGTTTTCGGGCTGAGACAAACCCAAACGCCTGTCTTTTGCAAGGAACCCTAACCTGCCTGGGGATTGAGGAGCAGTCTTAAGCTGAGCCCGCACCCGTATGAAGGTCCCTTAGGCCATATTTTTGCCAGGTTCGACATGATGCTTTACAACCAGCTACAGGTTTATTGACAGGAAACCCTTGTTTTTGGTGGGTGTTGAGTTTCCTGGCTCGCTAGTTTCTGTGACCTACATTTTGGTTTAGAGATACCAACTCCAAAAACAAGATGAACCCAAGGAAACGAGCTCACGATTTGGTGTCCGATTCCTATGATAAACCCATGGAGTGCATGTGTTTGAGGGATCTTTCAAAATGGGCTGCTTTTGAAGGGAAACTGGTTGAAAATAACTGGTTGTTGGGACCCGTACCCTCAGAAAACAGACAGTCCTTCAATGTGTCATATAGGAATCGGACACCCGAAAATGGAGAGCTCGTTTCTTTTGGGTTTCCCTGAATCCGCTCCAAACGGGGTACCCTTAAAACCATGAGGCTCCTTTCAATGACCCAGGGTTTTGGGAATGAACCTGGATTTTTTTGTCCAGGAAACCAAATCGAGGATGGCTTTTCTCGTCATTCCATTTCTGATTCCCTGCCGTGAGCCAGCAAGATACTAGGGGACCCTTTGGTGGACATCGAACTTCCGTGATTCACGCCCAGGTGGTGGTTCCCTATTCAACTGTTTATATCCAGGTAGATGCCCCAAGACAGCCTGCGGAGTCCCAAAAAGAAAACCATAGGATGGATGTGTGTTTTTTGGTCCGCCTTCGAAAGGGCAAGGAAAAGACACACAAAATGGCGAAATCTGGGCTGTGTTCAGATCCCCCTGTGGATCAAATCTGGGGTTTTCCCCACCAGTAAACCAACCAAAACATGTCAAAGCACCTGAGGAACCGGAGGAGCCGGATGGAGAGGGAACCGCCAAGTTTATAGCTTGTTTGTATGTGGTTTTTAGATGTCGGAACTGCTTCTTCGCTGAGCTTTTCCCTCCCGTTTGCTTATCCAAACTCGCTTGCCAGCACCCGGAATCAAAAGGTGATCGTCTGCTGAAACCAGGAAAACCAAAACTAGGCCCTCCAGTAGAGAGGTTCGAATAAGGCTACCAACTTTTTTCTGTAGTCTATATTTAGTAGGGGGTTACCCTCCCCAAAAAAGGGCAAAAGAGCACTATTGGGGGACCTAGAAAAGGTCGGATCCGGTTGATTCCTTTGACCACCCAGACCCAGTCTTTTTAGAAGCAGCCCGTTTTTTGGGGGCTCCCTCAAAAGAGGGGCTGTGGGAAATGGAATCCACCTCCGTGATACGAGGCCGAACCCCAAGGACTAACCCATACTAGGGAAGATTCCCGAACGTATCACAGAAGTGGTTGGATAAACCCCGAGTGATCAACCACAACCCTGCCACTACAGGTAGACAGGTAGTTTACCTTCTGGGTTTAACCGCAGTTTATTAATAGGGTGTCCCTGGGTGAAATTTGGGGAACCAGACCACTTTTGGAGAGCACGGAACACTACAAATAAACTGGGTTGAAGAAGCCTGGGGTCACCATTCATGAGAAAGCTTTAGCTCCGGGTTCTACATGTAAAACCCATTGAGGTGTTACCCACCATGACATGTTAATTTCTCCTAGCAACTGGGAGGGGTTGCATCCGCCTTTGTTCGGCACCCAAGAAACTGGCCACCCAAATTTTGGGCGCCACCCACCCGCCCACCCCCCGGGACCCTCCCGGGGACCCCCCCCCCCGACACCCGGGACCCGCGGGAGGAGTTTCTCGCCGCGGGGCATCGAAGGCGCCGTGGAGCTGCGGGAAGCCTCGCAGGTCCCGGCGGTCGTCGTGCCTGCAAAAGACTTCGCTGAGCGAAGCGGTGGAATGGATCCCCCTTGGGGGGGGGGGTTCAAACGACCTGTGTGTGTGTGTGTGTTTACATATGTAGATATATATATATATATATATATTTATGTATGATCTTGTTTTTTTAGCGCATGTCTTGATATGTACATATGGGTATGTGTTTTTTTGACGTGGCCGTGCCGGGAGGTTGGTATAAGGGGTATGAATCGCAGGTATGGTTCGGGGTATGGCTCGGGGGTATGATTCGGGGTATGGCTCGCGCGCCTCTGAACTCTTGCTTTGTGGCTTTGGACACTGCAAAGCTCCCGCTGGATAGCCGTGAGATTTGGACCGCTTAGTTGCTACAAGCCAGCCTGGGGCGCTTGTGAGTGGCCTGAACTAGACAGCTGCCACTCTGCGTGAGTGGGTTAGCGAAGCTGCTGCGCTAGCAGAGCCACTGCCTGTGGCGAACGTCATGGCCACCTCCACTTGGAGTTTAAGCGACCCGCGCGCTCACAGACCCAAGCAAGCGTTGCTTAAGGGGAAGCGTGCCCAGTCAGGCCCGCCACGAACCAGCGTAAGGGCAAGACAGCGTGACATCCTCAAACGGCAGCCGCGCAGAGGCTAGTGGGCCTTTCACAGGTGGTGTACCGTGTCGCGCTTGATGCATTGCAGTAAGCCTTCCGAACCCACCTTCTGGCGAACTTCTGCGAAAAGAGCCGTGCGCTGGTTCCTGCAGTGCTTCTCTTTGAGTTTTGTGTCTTCTGAGGATTTGGGCGGCATAGCTTCGCTAGTACTGCCCAGAGCGCAAGAGGCTCTTGGCTGCAAATGGCAGCAGAAGGGTATGAATCGGGGTATGAATCGGGTATGAATCGGGTATGAATCGGGGGTATGAATCGGGGGACATATTTTTTCGACCGGAAAAACACCAAGAGTACCCCAGGAGCACAAAGACAGCTTGTGTTTCACTGCGACAGTGGCCCAGGACAGACAGCTGTTTCCACCGCGTCGGACAGACTGCAGGAAGCAAGCTCCAAGTTTCAAGCTCAGCAGCGGCACCCCCCGCCACAGCGCCCTGCAAGTCCCAGCGTCTTACGTCAAGCTGCACCCCCCCGCCACAGCACCACGGATGCTACAGACAACTCTAGTACCAGGACATCCGCAGGATTGCTCTATAACTCCATCCATTGGCACTTTCCATTGAAAATAGCAAGCCGAGACCGAGGTGGGATACCGAGTGTCAAGGAACACCACTTAAGCCAAAATGGCCCCCTACGAGTAACCAGTGAGTGTGTGAGTGGACATGTCAACTGTACTTGGCCCCATGACATCAGCGCCCAACCATGCAAGCATCGCAGACTCAAGAATAGATCCAGGAACCACAAGTGAACCAGGTATTACCTCGGAGTCCCTACCCCCTGGCATCGGTCCACATGGCAAGCTCTCTACCACTGTTTCTTGGCAAGACCCCCTTCTTCACTTGAAGTTAAGCCCCCTATAGCTTCCAGCTATCCATGGATCACATGCAAATGCCATAGTTCTTGCAAGTTCTTTTTTTGTGTTTTTTAAGGGGTATGACTCGGGGTATGGCTCGGGGGTATGGTTCTTGGTATGATTCGGGGGTATGGCTCGCCCAAGCCCCACCTTCCACGAAGACTAAAGAACTGACACGGTAAAAAAACACAGACCCATATATATATATATATGTTTCTGCAAACAGCTGTGTTGTTTATATCTGCATATACAGATACAAGCAGGCTTGTTGCTGTTTGTTGCCTTTTTCACAAGGCTCCCTTTGATCTGATTGACACCTTCTGTCCCGCTTTTCGAACAACAAAACAAAAGAAAAACACGAGCCGCCCGCCGAAAACCGAAAACCGAAATCTCGCGCAACGCGAACATCGCCACGGCCTCTTGGTCATCGCATCTTTCCGGGAGATCTCCCGCAAGCGTTTGGTCTCTTCTTGCCTCGGGAAGGGTTCGCAGCTGATGTGTCTGGGGTTGGTCAACGGCCCAACCTGGAGGTTCCCATATGTGTCAAACCAGGGCAACAAAAAGAGACACATGACATGGGTGTGTCGTTTCTTTTAGGGTATCCCTGAAACGACCAAAGTGAAGCCACTCATCTAGGGGAACCCGATTTTCACACAAACACCTATGGTTCACATAGCTTTCAAACGCGTGTTTTGTCCAGCCGCGCTGGCCTAAGATTCCTAAGATGCTTCGAGCGGTGCAAGTTGCATATCCGGAGCCATATTGTCATAGCTCGTGACTGCCAATCAATGCTGAACATGCAACCGAGTTCACCCGAAATTGGCCTTAGCGCCGCGCAGAATCTCCTTCTCAAAGCGGACCTGGTCTATCTCCTGCTAGAGACAATTTACATGGGGATTTATGTCCATCAACCATTTTTGGGGAGGTTCACAAACAAAACTCCTAACCAAGCGAAGCAATGTTGGGGAGTATCCTCTAGGTTACGAATCGCAGGACGCCTTTCTCAGGTTCCATCTGCCGCACGCTCACAAAAGCCGTGCGCTTTGGCTGGCTGATCCACACGCAAACCGCTTTGCGCAGTTGCGCCTTAGCAACAACAAGAACCCTCTGATAACTCACAATTCTTCCTCGACCCTTGATTCGGAGAGCGCCAACGAAACAGTGCTGAAAGACAAAAGTGCGTGCCAATGTTCGCCTTCTGCCCCCGTAAAAGTGGGGGGGGGGCCGTGGAAAATGTCCCGGGCACTACAGAGATCTTTTGAAAAAAAACAAAGCCAAGAAATAAGAAGGTAAGTTACGCAATGGTTCTTTCTCCAAGGAGGTCCCCCGGTGTCTGCGAGTTACACTCCGAGTTTCCCAGATCCATGGCCATCGGCAAACCTTTGTTGCCTGTTGCTACTTGAAAGGCGGGGCCCCGGACAGTGGCAAAACTTGCGGGGCTGGGTTCCCTGGGTCTTTTGTCTGGAAGGATTGTCGGTTTCCAAGGCCCAATGAACCGACAGGTTCCGGAGGTCTCCTGCTGCTGCAGCTCGATCTGCCGCTGCTGCTCCCGGAGCCGCTTGAAGATGCGCGCGTCCGTAGCCGTGGCCATGCCATGGATCGCCTCGGGCGAGATCCGGCGATCGGGCGGGGCCCGGGCCCGGCGTCGCGTTTTTTGCATTTCAAACCATTTGGGATCCACGAGCCACGGTGGGTTTCAATTGGAATTTTCGCTGAATTTCAGTAGGAATCTCACATGCCCAGTGGATTTCCGTGAGAAAAAAAGGGTACCCTTTTTTATTGGGTGAGTTTAAAGCGGAACCCGCACCCAAAAAAAAGGAAAAAATGGCACCGCTGTTTGTGATGTCCACCGGTAATGCTGAACCCATATTAGTCAACCAACCAGCTTACTAATAGCGGGTTTGTCATGGTTTGTCAACCTGCGTTTCGTGGGGAATCAGACCAGGCCCCCACCCCCCTATTCATAAACTGGGGTTGAATAATATGGGGTCAACATTACAAACAAAAAAGACACTATTAAAATTCACATCCATGCGAGTGTGGATGCCATTGCATAATCACGATTTCCTACTTGAGATACCCCCAAAACCCCCTTCGTTCGTTTGCTGAAGGCCACGTTTGAACCGGCCTGCTCGTAGTCCGCAGCAGCGCTGTCGATCTTCTCCTGTAATCTTTGCTCAGTCCTCAGCGAGGAAGGGCATCACAGGTGTGTTCATGCTGCGCACGGCTCATCAGCCGGCAGACACAAATCAGATTGCTTGTCTGTTGTAAAAGTGGCTTCTGTCCCCAAGACATGGGAACAATGAGTGAGTCCCAATGCCCATGGCCACCCAAATGGACTACAAACTACTAAAACATGTTGTCCGCACCTCATGTAAACATGACCCATCGGCTCACGCTCAGGCATGGGCTGCTGGATTCGCTTGCAATCTTCTTCAAACTCCTGGCAAGCTAGCAAACCCAAGTCAATAGCAAAACGGTAGCAAAACCGGGTCGCCCCTTCTTCCCACAACTACTGCGGGGCTGGAGCAAGCGGGTATCCGGTATCCTCCCAAACGAACCCAGAAGTTGCCAGTTGCAAAGGAACGCCTTCCCTCTCCAGCTTGGTTCCACGTGAGTCATCTCCACTCTTCTCTCTCAGTTTTAAAACGGTTGACAAAGTGGCCATAAACTTCTTGGATAATACTTGGATTCTACAAAAGCGGAAGCTCCAAAACGAAAGCGGCGAAACCACGGGTTTCCCTTTCAATTCATAAAAAAGGAAGGGAGCACTTTTTGGAAGGGTTCTACAAAAGTGTTCTCATTGTCGGTTCGTGAAAACAAAGGGAACACTTTGGACGGGACCGCTTTGAGTCACCTCAGCCTTCCTCGCCTTCAGCCGCAGGTCCAGACCTTGCTTGAAGAGCATCACATCCGGATCTGGCGCCTGACGGGGCCGGGCTAGCGGGCGGATGGATGGTTTTTGTGTCCAGGAATCGGAGGTTTTGTCCCTGCGAGTTTCTCCTAAAACAACACCAAAATGAGGTCAGATTTAGTTTCCCTTGGGCTTTTGTTGGGTCTCCCCTAAAACAACTCGACAACCCTTAAAATGACGAGTTTCCCCTTGAGTTTTCCCCTCAAACAAACAAGTTTCCCTTGGGTTTCCCCAAAAGCCACCCTAAAATGGGGTCAGTTTTAGTTTCCCTTGGGTCTCCCCTAAAACAACTCAACAACCCTCGAGTTTCCCTTGGGCTTCCCCAAAAAGCAAATAAGTGTCCCTTGGGTTGCCCCTAAAACCACCCTAAAATGAGGTCAGTTTTAGTTTCCCTTGGGTCTCCCCTAAAACAACTCAACAACCCTCGAGTTTCCCTTGGGCTTCCCCAAAAAGCAAATAAGTGTCCCTTGGGTTGCCCCTAAAACCACCCTAAAATGAGGTCATTTTAGTTTCCCTTGGGTCTCCCCTAAAACAACTCAACAACCCTCGAGTTTCCCTTGGGCTTCCCCAAAAAGCAAATAAGTGTCCCTTGGGTTGCCCCTAAAACCACCCTAAAATGAGGTCAGTTTTAGTTTCCCTTGGGTCTCCCCTAAAACAACTCAACAACCCTCGAGTTTCCCTTGGGCTTCCCCAAAAAGCAAATAAGTGTCCCTTGGGTTGCCCCTAAAACCACCCTAAAATGAGGTCATTTTAGTTTCCCTTGGGTCTCCCCTAAAACAACTCAACAACCCTCGAGTTTCCCTTGGGCTTCCCCCCCCAAAAAAAAAGTGTCCCTTGGGTTGCCCCTAAAACCACCCTAAAATGAGGTCATTTTAGTCTCCCTTGGGTTTCCCAAAGACCCCAAACAAAAACTTGCCCCCAAAATAGGCACACCCATATCTCTCCAATGGCGATCGTCAGCGACCGCTGGCCTCCATGACGAGTTCTCCAGAGGCATTCACGTATGGAGCCAGCCTGCAACCGAAGCCTTGAACCGAGAGCCATCAATTCAGCTACCGGAGGGGTCAGTCCGCAAACCCGCGGTTTCGGAGCCTGAACCAAAAGAAAAAGAGAAATCCACTGGGCGTGCGGCATCGTGGCCAGCCTTTCCTGGTCCTCAGCGGAAGTTTGCCAATCCTTCCGGAGCTGGAGCAGTTCTGTTTGGACGGTGAGAGCATGACAAATGTGGGAAATCCCTAGGAAAGGAGCAAGCCTAAAGAGTGTGTTTCTCACAGATTAGCCTGAAGGCTGGTCTCGCGAAGATTGAGGATGGAAATGGAGTCCATGCTACATCATGATTTCCGTCCTGAAAGGGGTGGGAGGGTGTTCGGCAAGTGGCAGGTAACAAGAATGCGCGTTCCATACTGTCCCACCGTCAAAATGCTCAGGGTCATAGAATTGTAACTTGATCCATAGCCAGGGCACTTGAAAACATATAGAACCATGTCCTCAACAAGTCCCTTCAAATTGGAGTGATTCCTGCTATCCAAGAGCCACACTCTTTTGGGGGAAGTTCCTCTTGGCAACCCAGGAACTTGGCTCAGTAGGGTTCATCTGTCAACATTCTGGAACTGTAAGGAGCAAGTCTTACTCAAATCGACGGTGTGAACACTTGAAGGATATGGGTTGGGTCGCCCCCTCCCCCCCCTCCCCACAGCACTAGCAGGGAACAAGACCATTTAGCCATAATACCCCAGCAAACAGAACCACCAGAATATCCCAGTGGGTTTTGGTAGGCTCCCCCTTCCTGAATTTAGAACACCACATTTTTCCCCAACAGCTGAAAGCTTTGGGGTCTCAGCCCAGATAGGCTCCGGGGTGGTCCGGGGCGGCAAGGCAAGGTTCCACGAGGGTTCCACCAGGGTTCCACGAGGGTTGCATGAGCTTCTGCGAAGGCTGCGGGGTGGTGCGAGCACTAAAACCAGCACCGCATGCTGTTGGGGATATCACCTGAGCTTATTCCTAATTTGTGTGGCCCTCTTTACCTGCCCAAGTGAATTTCCTAACACGAGCATGACAACTCTGGCACTTGATGCAGTTGGATAGTGACCACCAACTACACAACCCAGTAAAAGAGTCAAATACCCTCTGTCCACTGATATGGAACCTGACTAAGGGGGTCCTGTCAGTGTAGTCTAGTGTGGTTCCGTGTTTCTGGACAGCAGGGTAGGTTGCCCGAAAAAGAAGAAACCGAAAACAATTGGGGCTTTAACGGGGCTGCTTCAGAGGACTCTGAAGCTCTTGCACACTTGCGGGCCTTGAAACGGTTCAAGACAAGACCGCCGCTCAGCCGGCACAGAACCACAAGTTCCCGAGTTGAACCTCCCACGACTTTTTGTTGAGTACCAAATTTGCGGACCCCAACATACCCAGCACAGTTATCCCACAAAAACTATCACCGAAAAACCACAACTATCCCCACTAAACACCCCAAAAGGAAAAGAACGCATACCCACGCAAAAGGAGCACCGCAAAACCACGATTACACCACACACACACAAAAAAAAAACACCAAAAAACCAACTACACGGCTGGGAAGATCTCCAGCAAGTTTTGTCCGACAGAGAAGACTCACTTACCCTTCCACCGATTAACATGAAACCTGACAGGGGGGTCGTGGAAGACAGTTTTCTTTTTAAAGGGACCCCCTGTCAGGTTCCATGCTAATTGGTGGGAGGGTCCTGCCCCGACAGACCGCCAAAAGACAGCCACTGTGCCGATTGCTCGTCAAAAACAGCGCTAGCGCTCCTGCGCGCCGTGTTGGAGGTCCGCGCTTGGGAAGGGCTGGGGGCGGCACGCTGAAGCGGTTTCGGGTGGCAAAGGCTGGGTACTGGGTGCTGGGTGCTGGGTGCTGGGTGCTGGGTGCTGGGGATGGAGGAAGGAGGGCTGGGGAAGCTGGGGAATACATTGCGCGCTGCTCACAGGGTTGCATGAAGCAGTTCGAATGACCGACATCTCACACGCTTGAAGGAGAAGAGGCAGAGGCATAGGTGGCCTTTTGGAAAATGGATGGCCCTGGTAAATGGAATAAAACCCATCTAAACCAGTGCCATCTATGAAAACCAGGCTCACCTAAAAAGGACACCTATGGACAGAGGAAGCAGGCAGCCACGAATGTCGTTTCTCATGTGTTTGACGCTTTATTGACCTTCTTTCTAGTTGCATCTGACCCAATGCTAGCGGCGTCCAAAGTACTTTTTGGATCAGTTCTCAGGGAGCCCAAACGTTTTTTGTTGTTGTTTAATTTCAAAAAGTGGCGCTGGATGGTCCATCACCGCCACATGGGCATAAATTTAAATTAGGGACCCTTTGGAGTTTGGAGGACATGAAATTTAGGTGGGGATCTATGTCCATTAATCACTTTTCAGGGAGGTTCTCCATGGAAATTCATGGCCATATTTTGCTTCTACACCAGCCGTCCATCCTGGGGTTCCCAGCCACCGTCAAGAGCGAGTGGCACGCATTCAGCTCCGCCAGCTGTGACTGGTAGAGATCCTCATCAATGGATGCGCGCGGTTTGAGGGTCCACCACCAAAAACGGCTGGCTTGTGAACTTGTTTGGGAAGAGACCCCAGCAAGGATTTTCCGGGCACTTCTTGCCTCCCCATCCGACTGAGCCCTCGTCGCAAAGCTGCTGGATCTCCAGATCGTCGCGGAGATGCCTGCGCGACCAGTCTGGAAACACCGATCGCGCCAGTTCAACTGGCAGTGGCTCAAATGAGGCCCGGGGGGGGGGTTGCCACCCTTGTAGTGGCTTTGACGCACCCCAAACTGAAAGCTTGTAGAGCCACTATATCACTAGTAAAGGATACACGCTCTCATTTGAGGGTACTGGTTTGAGGTAGAAGTACACCCAACTAGTGATCCGTTGGCATCTCTTGTCATAACTTTAGATTCGGAACTGTGGGAATGGATTAGAAATGATATTTACATGCAAAAAACAAACTAGAGCAACAATCATCATCGTCATCATAGTCGTCACTATCAACATATGATTATTATTATGTTTCTTCTTCTTCTTCTTCTTCTGCTCTTATTCTTATTTTTTGTTGCTTCCTCTTCTTCTTCATTCTATCAATCGATCGTTTCCCTGATTTTAATCCCGCTCTTGTACCCCTCAAGTATGCTGTCATTCCTTCCAGCAAGGTAGGTTATGGATTGTGAACAACCAAACTTAGCAAATGACATCAAAACAAAACGAACCAGAGAATAGAGAAGGTGCCTATTATAATACAAGAAGAAGTTCATAAGTAACAAATACATTCGATAGTACAATAATAACTCCATGAGTAACAAAAGCAGACATGAGACAACAATGAGTTTGACCAACAAAAGCATGTCATCGTGGTATGATTGTATTCTTCGAAGGAAGGTAAGATATGAAACAAGAGCTTCCTTGACAGGCGAGTTCATCCATTGGACAGTTTCTAGAGTCTCTCTTTCTCTTCTGGGAAACTCATGCAAACACCAAGCAACATATTGTAAAGCAATGAAAACTAGAACAGGAAAGCTTGGCAAAGGAGAACGCACATGAGGCAGGACAATGATCTGTGTTCTCCCCTCACCCAAGATGGGAGAGATACTTTTTGGTTGGGAGTCATTGAACAACATTCCCACATTGTGAGGCAAAGATATATGCAGTACCCTACCACCAACTAACATGGAACCTGACCAGGGTGCCTGAAAGACCAACTTCCTTTTAAAGGGACCCCCGGTCAGGTTCCATGTTCATTGGTGGGAGGGTAATGCATAATATGCTATCCATGATGGTGCATCTCATTGTTACCTCCGTGCCAGCGAGAGAAGCGAGAAGAATTCCTGAAGCCAAATCCCTTTTTCTGGGGGTACCTTCCATTTCCATTCTTTCTAGGGATCCTTCTTTCTGGAAACGAAAACGGCTGGCTTTGGAAAAGAACGATGGTTGAAAAGAATGGGGAATCAAGCCCTAGACTTTTGGCTTGCTGGGTTTTCTCCTCACAATGGTCCTGGCCCCAAGAAGGGGTCCAATTCCTTTCTGCCCGACAGTTCGAGCACTCATCATCATCTGTCTCCATGCTATGATGTGGGAACAGAGATAGCTAAAGTGAAGGATTATGCAAAGGATTCCCATGCTATGATGTGGGAACAGAGATAGCTAAAGTGAAGGATTATGCAAAGGATTCTACAGAAAGACAAAAAAAAAGAAGAGTAATTCCCAAATAAACAATACAAAACTAATGGAAGCAATACAAAGGAGAATAATATAAAATGCCGCTCTCTCTCTCTCTCTATAATATAATATTATATCTATACATATCTATTGATGAGCATTGTCTTTGCCTTCGTGGCTGACTTTAGGACATCAATAATTGGATAAGAAAGTGTTTGGTTGTCGATTTTCTGCTTGATTGCAAGGTCAGTCTATAGGATTTTATCATCTGTCCCATCATCCTATCCTTCCCTTCCTTGCCCATCCCTCAGCATCTATTCCTTTTCGGCCCACCATTTGTGCACCCCAGTCCTATACTCGGTTGCTTTCTGCTCCCTTGCTAAAAGTTTAACTTTCAGTGGCTTAATGGAAAACCCATGAGTTGGCAAAAAGTTGTTCAGTCCTAACATCCCTTGGCAAAATGGACCAAAGTATAGGCATTACTATAAGCCCCATGAAACCCAGGCAGGGGAACCTACGAGAATTTCCAAGGGCTCCCGCTTTGGCAGCTGCTGCATTGCTGGCTGCCCCGCAGCTGCTGGTCGCGCAGCCTTCCGCCCGGCCCAAAGGGAACCTACCCGACAAACACACCTCATATGGCTGTGGTTGTCAAAACCCTGTACCCCTGGTGAACATCAAAATAGGTGGCAAATAGATGTTCATCCACCCCAAAATGGAGTCATAGGTTCTGACCCATGGCCAAAGAAACACAAGGCCGCCAGAAGTAGATGTCTGAACACCTTCAGCTTCAGAGGCCCTCCATGAGGCCAGTTTTCTCGGGACAAGGGCGAACGAGAGAACGAGCGAGTTTCGGAGACGGCCGAGCGAACAGGGCGACGAGGTGGTTTGTTCGCCGCATCTCTGCCCAGATGCAAACGGCATGCAAACGGCATGCAAACAAAGGCATTCTCACTTGCTCGAAACCCGAAGCATGATCTTGCAAGGGCGACGAAATGGAACCAACCCCTTTCGGGAGGTCCCCCCCACCAAGAAAACAGGACCACAGCCAGAGTCAGCATTAAATTGTTCCAAGAGGACATCAGAGGTTTCAACTTCACACCCTGTTTCCTGCACTTCTCGTCCATTTTCAGTGGACCAGCAGTGATTTTTCACCAAAGCCTTCCTGTGGGTGGTGCTTTTGAGTAGTGATGGGTTTCCTTTAAAATGCCAGCTCAGGGGACATTTTCACATATTCATATGATTAAGCCAAAGCAAGTCATGGGTGGACTCGTCGTTTTTTAGTTTGTCTTCCCATTTTTGGTGTTCTTAAAGCAAAAGCCAAGGGGAGGCCGGGCGCCGCACAGCGGCGCCATAGCTTCCCAGCGCCTCCATCCTGATGCACCACACTTGGTTTCTGTGGACCCCTCTGCAAAAAGAGTGTAACTTTTTGTGGGTCCAGTTAACCAACACCTTGATTTCCCGAAAAATTAAAGCCTAAAGATCCAACCCAATAGACATCAAGCGCAGAGCAATATCTTGTACCGCAGAGAAATATGGGTGTGGGTAACCCCGAAATGGGTTGCCCTGGTAAGAGGAAACATGGACTAAAACCTGCGGTCCAATTCCTGGTGGTTTAATTTTGGCCCACAGCCACATCTCGTCTTTGGTGTGCTTCTTTTCATTCATCTTTTTTGAATGAATCTGGAAGGGGGGATGTTGCTCTTGTTTTTTTGGGTTGGGGGGGAGGGGGAAGGGCCGAAACGTGCTTCGGTTCGTGAGTGCCCAACACGGCGTGACTTGTACCAGGGTTGAGGCTGAGGCTTAAGCCCACCAAGCCAGGTGGAACCATTGGGCTGTCCGTGTTCGTATCCCCAGCTCAAGGCTTATGCAACTGTTGGGTTAAATCCGGAAACCCAACCACTAACCCAACCACAAAACCCAACCACTAAACCCAACCACCAAGCCCAACCACTAAACCCAGCCACAAAACCCAACCACTAAGCCAACTAAAAAATCTAAACACCCGCTCGTGTAAATTTGCAGGGAGTATGAGGCCTCTCTTGCCCCCCCCCCCCTCCGCCAAAGACAAGGTATACGCACCAAAATGGCCAAGAAAGTTGCACGAAGCCTGGTAGCTCTCTTTGAATTAAGTGGGTAGCGCTGTGCTCATGTTGCAAAGATTTCGCGCACTGACATTTGCCGGCATGACGGACTCAACAAGTATATGTGAGCGCCCTGATTGGGTGTCTCTTTTATTCAGGGTTCCTTTTTTGGGTTGGTTTTAGAGAGAAACCAAAAGGAAGCCATTGGGGGTTTCCCGATTTTGGGACAAGCGCACTTCGCAGTCTGCATGTTCCGGCAAGCAACACGGTTCCTTCACTACGGCCCAGATGTGCCGCCTGCGCTTCAATTTTGCCACGGTGCTCCAAAAACCGACTGCGGCACCAAAGTGATGCATGTACGCCATGGAGTTTACAAACTTCATTTGGGCATCAATTTGAATCAGGGACTTTTCGGTGGACATGATATTTGGGGACCAAGTCTTAAAATTCAGCTCGCCATCAAAGTCTCCTTTTGAAACGCCGCTGGGTTTCCATGAAGGGTTGCGTAAAACCCACGGGCACGCCGCAGAGCATACGGCGTGCCTGAGCGCCCCCAAAGCTCGGCTTTGGAATCCCGCTCGAGCCAAGAACCGCAGGAATCCCGCCGCTGATCTCCGCTCGCTGAAAACATGGCGATGAGTTGGATATTTTGAGGAACACAGGTTTGTCTCTAATCATGTAGTTCACAATTGGTGGATCCCTTGAAACAGCCCAAAATAGGGTTCCCTCAAAATAACACACCCACATCTGTCTAATTCCAGCTTGGGAATGAGTATCTAAACTCATAGTTATCACCACATGGAGAAAGCACACCCAATTTCAGGCAACCACCAACCCGGGTGAAAATGAAGCTCTGCTCGGAGCTTGTAGATTGCTCTGAGCTGAGCTGAAATCCCAAACCGAACCACTGCAACTAAACGAGGATGACTGGTCAGAACAACCGCCTAGCAAAGAAAGCGCGGATGGCCACCAAATCTTACCGAATCCGAGGGCTCCGAGATCGAAACCCGCAACTTGGGTAGATGGCCCTTCACTGTGGCAAGAGTTCATGACCCGCGTACCTACAAATGGACTGGGGCCCATCCGTTCCAGAACCTGAGATTCCCTGATCTGAGGCAAAGAGCTGGGCTTCCGGAATCGAGGGGTGGCCAACAAAGCCATCAGAAAGGTTACCCAAAAAGCCCAAGGCATTTTTGGTTTGTCCATTCGATGCTTGTCGGATGGACAGATCCTAAGACTTAGATTTCGTGTCTCGGAAAATTCATGGGAACTGTGAGAAACGATCTCGCCTCCACTCAAGCAAGTCTCCAGTCTCTCCCAAAAAAAGTCAAGATCTCGCCAATCCAAGCCCAGCGTCCGAGGGGACGTACTCACAGGTGGCCGCCGCTGTGCGGCACGTCGCTCTCTGTTTCCGGGGCAGCTTCGGGTGCCGCTACTCGATGCCAGCGTTGAATGAGGACTGCTGCAACCAGAAAAGTTGTAGGTGCGTGCGTGCTTCTCGTGGCTTTTCTGAAACGAAACCAAACTCACAGGTGTCCATGATTTCTGGCAACATGTTGAGAAAGCGGCAAAGAGGAATCCTTCGCTACCCGAGGAATAACTGACCAGCGATGTTTCTGCTGGTAGGTGAGACCGAGGCCACACGGCCCGTGCATTAACTTTAGTGGTACGCATTGAGGGATTGCACCGACCAACACAATTGGGGTAGTCGCAAAATATGTGAACCCCCGAACCATAAGCGGTCTCCTATTATTTTCTCTTCCAACTACCCCAGAAATATTCAAACCTCAAAAGGGAAACAGCTCGATGCAGGTGCTCATTTGCACCAGCCAAGCGTGTGATGGTATCATTCCATGTCATTCCAGTTGAGTCAGCCAAAATATGCTGACCGTGAAGGGTTGGTTTGCCTGGCTGTTGTGGGACTTGTGAGTCTGCCCGTCTCTGCCCATGATATCTTGACCAGACCTCGTTTGTTTTCGTCCATTCCGGTTTGCATGTCGTGAAGCTTCAACTAAAATCCCTGGCTTCACAGAGATCCCCGTCCGGCCGTCCGGCGCCTCTCAAGCTCAGTCGCGCGGAGCGTCCTGCAGCCGACAAGAAGCCCATTGCCTGAAAAGACTGACGCCGACCCTAAAGCTCCCAGTTGCCGGCCTTAGCGCCTGACGGGCGTCCCTGGATTTCCCCCTCAAGCGCTGCAGTTTGATGGTGGTCTCCAGAAAAAGCTGACCCAAAGATGTTTCACAACCTTGGCTGAACAGTGGGAAACCAATGGCAGCAGGTACATGCAACCATTGTCCAAAGGATTGTCATGCATCTGTCCTTTGAGCCTGGGTTGTTTGCATGGTGAAACCAAAGAACAAGGGATTGCCGAATGAGCACATTCAAACGGTTTCCCCATGGTTGCAGTGGATGGAAACATTCGCCAACCAAACAACAGGCCATGGCCTTCTTCAGGCTCCTTGAAGGATACATTTGGATCGGACCAGTCAAATCAGCTCCAGCTGATCTAGACGATCCCCAGGTCAAGCTGGCCGCTTTCGGATGTATCTCCGGGCCCCCAGTGGCCATAAGGAAAAAAAGCAGTGGCACCCCTTTGCTATTGATAAAGGGAATCCACGTCCAAAACAAGTGGAAAGGAAGCTTTGTTAATTGATGTGAACGAAGTTGAAAGGCAGCAACTGCCGGATGGGCATCCTCTTTCCTTTACTTACTTGCCGGTTCTTGGGGACTCACGGGTGGGAAAAAGCGCGGTGGGGTCTTCCCTGCCCAGCGCTCCCGGCAAGAAGCTGGGCTCGCGGGGAAGACCAAGTCCTGGCCCACTCCAGTTTTCGGCGACTTAGTATGGATTTGCACAGGAAAACACGACAAGTGTTCTATTTAACACCAAAATGGCCTTGGTATAGAAGTCCATGTTCTTTCATTTACCACTAAAATGGCCTTCGCAAACGAAAAAGTGGGATGTCCAAAACTGGTTTGCTGAAGCCAGCCAAAAGGCAGGACGTAAAACAGCGTCTTTTCTAGTGGCTTTTCGTAGCCAATTCACATTTCCACCAACGGCCGCTCTGCAAAATTCAATAACAAATTAAAATGGATTGATATGGGCCTCAACAAGGAACTGCTTGTTCCGATGTCTACTGAAAATGATATCTTAAACTTAAAATTTACATAATCCTACCGGACATGTTGAGAATTTAGATAGAATGCCTTGCCCAATAGAACTGTATAATTGGAATAGAGTTTAAACAGAATCTGATAAGAACATAATCCGATCAGAACTCCGTTTTTGGATGAGACTTGCTGATTAGGATTATGATATTTAAAATTATACTGTACACAGGATTTTATGTCCAAGAGAATGTCTTTACAAATCAATTCACGTTTGAACACAACTTATTCAAACATATTTCGAAATGTGAAAAAGCGCACGCTCACAGTGATGAGCTCTCTTTTGTTTGCCGCACAGGCCAAGACACAATCATTTATGACATCTTGTTATGTGTCTTGGAGCAGGATATCTCAGGAGCCATGAAGCTTGTGTGGAAAGCTGCTCTAAGCTTCCAACATGGGACATTCTGCGCCGCCCGAAAACAGGCACGCAACTGTTCAACGGCGAGGGTGAGCAAGCGTGAAACTCCGGGTGCCCAGTGGATTTCCATGGGAAGAAAAAGATCGGCACCCTTTTTGGTTGGTTGAGTGTGAAGGAATCGGAACCCTTGCCCAAACAAAGTTGAAAAAAGGGCACTGGGTGCCAGAGTATTGCAGCAGAACGGGTAAGGTCCTTGACAACTGCCGGTGGCGGACCCCAGGGCAAAGGCCACTCAGACCTGGCGCGGATTGGCGGGAGGGTTTGATGTTGGGAGTTGATTGAAATGAAAGTCCGGCAAGAATGAGGTAAAATCAGGATGTTGAAACCAAAATGGTGGTAACATACATATATATATATATATATTATCTTGAGACGTTTCGAAGTGAATGAGGATGAAACCACCGTGGCTTTATGAATAATCTTGACCGTCGTTTCTTGGCTGATCGCTGGCTTCTCACTTGAGCCGGAGCTGATAGAAACTCTGCTCGTTGGAGCCCAGGCAACGGGCCCAAGAACCGACGGACCGATCACAGGGACTTGGGCAAATCATATGTGCAGCCCCTTGTGCTTCGATGTCTATGAAGGCTCGGCTTCCCATTTTGTCCGGAAACATGACTGGCCACAAATCGAGAGGTCCGTGGTTCCGTCGAGTGAAACCCATTGAATCTTGGTTCTACTGACATGGCGAAAGGTTTATGTATATAAGCCTCACTTTGATCCCAAAACCAGGTAGTAGAACAACCTACTAAAATTTCGCACTGTTGGAGAAATCGGTTTGTCCCATCCGAGCCTTCAGGAAATGAGCGTCCGAGAATGTGACAAAAGCTTCAGCCCAAGTCTGAAGAAGCAACACAAACCTCGAAATGTGTCTTCTTTTCCTCATCCTTGATCTATTATTCTTGTTGTTTCTACTTCTCCTCCTTCTTCTGCTCACAACAGCCAACCAGCATCTTGTGGCCTCAATCACCCTTCAAAGAGTCAATGCCCAAACAATACCTCTGAGTTAAAAACCCGAAAGCAGGGAATCAGTTCGTCGGCACCATGGTGGAACATGACCCGAAATCTGTGATACCAGACAGGGATGTCCATTCCCACAACTAGAAAAGCTAGTTGGCACAGGACTCTCTTTCGAGTTGCCAGGATAGCTCCAAGATGACTTAGATCCTCCACACCAGGTGGCAAAGGTGATTGTTTAACTGGCTCAAATGTATCCTTGGGGCCCTGCTTTTGGACTGGGGTGCCATGCACTTCCGTGTCGACGACCTTTGTTGGGGACATTTGGTTGAATTGAATCCTCAAGCAAATGATATCCAACTACTGGTGTGTCCGTTTTTTGAGGCTACTCTTTTTTGTTGGTTTGAAAGGGAAACCAATGGAACACCAAAACCCACATTTTGGTAGGTCTGACCTGGAAAAAATAAAACGCGCCCAAATGGGACCCTGGTAGATAGAAACAAGGGCTCAACTCTGTTAAGTTTGACCCATACCCAAATATCAACACCAAAGGGTCGCCAACGCGGCCCGCCACGCTCCCCGCGGTGGCGATAGGTCGATAGGTCGATAGGTCCCCGGCCCCGCGGTGGCAAGGCTAGAGCTGCTGATGACCTGAGCGGGAGCCTTCGTTTGATAGTTTTGTTGATGGCCCTTAATTCAAAACCCTACCACCAACTAACATTCATGGGGGCTAGGGGGCAGGGAGAAGGGGGGAGGCAGCCCAAATTTGCGCCCAAGCAAGCTCTTATTAAGCCCTTGCTTTGGTTCCAGCTGCTTTTTCGTCCCCTGGAAAAAGTGAGAAAATATGTCCAGTAGTGATAGATTTCCTTGAAAGCCTCCAGGTGAAAATAAAACCTATTCTTAAGCAAATGGACGTTGATGGCCCTTAACTCAGGTACCCTCCCGGAAATTAACATGGAACCTGACGTTTGGGACCTGGTCCTTCTAAAAGAAGTCATGGTCCAAGCCAGGACCCCCCCGAACGTCAGGTTCCATTAGGGCAATCCTGCTATGGAACAGCCAAAAACCGATACCCATCAACTCGCACCACGGATTGACCGCCCAAAACCGCGCAATGGGCCGAGCAACTACCTTGATAGCTGCTGCCAAGCCAAGCACAGCTTGGTACCTTTGCCCAAGAATCCAAAGGCTGGCGGTGAACACCCCTTTTTGCTGGGCCCAGGGGGTTGACAAAAATTAAGATGTTCAGATTCTGAATAATGCACAAATCGTCTAGCCTAATGAAAGTGTCCTTCTTTCTTAAGGCCCTGTAAACGCAACCAAGAAACGGCAAACCCTCAAAAGAAGACACCCACTTAGTCGACCCATTCTATAATGTTGACCCCGGATTAATGCACCTGTGCCATGATTAGGGGGGTGTTCCCTCCAAAAGTGGTCTGAAGGGACACCCCCCCTATTAATCAACCAGGGGTTTATTAATCTGGGGTCAACATTAATTTGATATGGAGACGCCGGGTCATGCCAAGCAACGCTCGCAGACAAAGGCAGCGAGGACACAAAGCCTCCAGGCGAATCGTGCACCGCTGACGATCCAATGCGCCCCACTCGCTTTACCGCAGATCAACAGTTCTCTGTTGTCCAAACTAGGGGTTTGGGCCCCTCCATTGCTTGGATTCATGTTCGGTTCCTTTTGAAACCGGCCGAAAGATTGAGTGTCCAACTTTGGCGCACGGCCATATGGGCTGGTCTCCAAGTTTGGCACCTTTCAAACTGTGAGTTGGTTGTCATTTGGGGATGCCTTTACCCCGAAAAGAGCTCCCCGTCACCAACACAAAAAAACGCGGCCCCCTCAAACAAGCACGTTTACACCGAAAAGAGCCCCCTCTCCAAATCACAAAAACTGTACACCGAGAAGAGACCCCGGCAAAACAAACAAAAAACACGACCGTGTGACCAGCTCAGTGGAGCGATGTTCGCAGCCTGCCCGAGGAGCGGTCCTGAAACCGACCGCGAAGCCAACGGAAAGCGTGGGGGCGTTTCTCATTTCTGGGTAAATTATAACATTTCACCAGCCTGAAATAAGGTGGCTTGACTTCCCAACATAATCCACCATTTGGGGTGAGGTCGTGTGAGGTTGTTATAAGTCACCCAGTCATTTGATGCGGCAGTTGGCCCGCTCCCAAGCTGAAATTCAGGGCTCTGACCAAGAGGGTAATCAAGACACTGATGTTTGGTCCTACTTACGTTCATCAACCCTTCGATTTGTATTTTAGCCAACTATTGTCAGGCGTCCTTTGGCAGGACCCCATGACAGATTGGCCAAGATACGTTTAAACTTTGGTTCAACCCAAATGGCCTTCCCTCGGACAGCGAGGCTTCCGTGACCTGGGTTGACATGGCGTTCATCAGTCTCTGCACCAAAGTTGAAAGTGAGGCAACGTTCAACCATTTGCCACCGCACGTCCAAAAACCCTCTAGTTCTCAAGCAATATTCTCAGGAATAGAAGCACGAATCCTTGGATCTGGAGTGTGGCCCAACGATTGGGCGCTGCCCCCCATACAAGTCACACCGTTGAAGGACCAATGGCGCGCAGCTTTGGCCCCAAACATTCCAATGGACCCATCTCTTTCATCGGCTACATCCTTCACAGTAAGCATCCCCTTTGGCCTGGATGGAAAAACCGCTCATTCTTCGGGGACTTCGCCAATAGCCCAGTCATAACAGTTGAGTTGACTACAACCCTTCCCCCCGGCTCCTCGGCGTCACAAACTGCGGCGGGTCTCCTCTGCGACGATTTCAGGGGGAAGGCTGAAGGAACCTTTGCCTCTTTGCGATCGCGCACAGTGTCTGTTCGACGCAGCGATTTCTTGGGAGGGGGGAAGGAGAAGGCGCCAAAAACAACAAACACAAGTCAGGGTGCTTGAACAGCGGTCGATGGAAGAAACGCGGCCGGCGCAACAAATCCTCCGGTGTTCTGGGCCCCTGGGCCTCAGGCCGCAATCACCATGTGTCCCTTCAGCGCGCATGCAAAAAAGATGGTAGGTCTAACCTTAAAATTGAGGACCTTGGTCGGAACAGCCTTTTTGCAGGAAACGCAGGCTAGCACGGAACTGAGAACTTGGTGGGGTCCCAAGTTTGACACAGTGCCATGCTCCCGAGTGCCTCCAATGTGAGCGCTGCTCATGCTGCTTGCCTGGGACCAAGACATTGGCACCAAGCGGACAGCCGCTCCGCAATCACCAGCAAACGTGTGAATCATGTGAGTCAGGGAGGCCAAAGGGCGTATTCACCCCCAAAAATATCCCTGTTTTGAGACACGCCCGTCATAAAACCTTGACACGTGGCAACACAAAACCGAGCCCTCTGGAGTGCCTTGATTAACAATCAATACAAAAACTTGACCATGCCTCAGGTAGGGTGACGGTGTTGTTGTTTTAACTAGGGCTGGTTTTTCCCCAACAGCTTTCAGCTCCGGAAAGGTCCGGGGCGGCCCTGAGGAGGGTTCCACCAGGGTTCCACCAAAGTTCCACGAGGCTCTGCGAGGGCAGCGGGTGGTGCACCGCAAGCTGTTGGGGATATCACTTATCACCCGAGCTTGCGCAGGGCTGGCAACATCCCCAGCATCACCAGCATCACTTGGCCCTGGGGCTGTCATTGGCTCTGATTGGGTGGCAGTTGGGAGTTGCCTGGGTTCTGGTTTAAGTTAGGGGGGGATTGGCTGGCTTAGATCTTCATGAGGGCGGGTCTTGCGGTGGTTTGGGGTTGATTTAGGCGAAGCGAAGGGCTGACATCCAGGTTGCTGTTGGGCGGGTTTAGGTTGACTTTGAGTGGGTTTGGGTTGGTTTGGAGCTGATTGTGTTAGGTGTGCTGCTGGTTTAGCAGCGGCTGTAGGGTTGCTTTAGGGTGTGGTTAAGTGAGTTGTGGGCGAGTTTTGGTTGGGGCAACGCCCCAAAACGATCCGAAACGAGACCACTCAGACCCCACGCAGCCCCCAACTGCCACCCAATCAGAGCCAATAGGCACGGTCAAGTGATGCTGGCGATGCCGGGCATGCGGCTAACCAACCAACCGAGAAAAAAAAAGCCCTAGGAAAAACAACAACAAAAAACGCCGAATCCCTCAGGTAGCCGGCGCCAAAAGTGATGAGAAATCTTGCAGAAAGCTACTCTTTGCACCGTTCAAGACATTCTTCTGTTGACTGGTAGTTTGGAGGCTGGACAGGGAACAATGGGTGACAGTCAGCACGTCTCACGTTGAAGGAGTTGCCCGAAAACAAAGATGGCTACGAATGTAGGGTAAACACTGACAAAACAGTTGTGGCACACGATTGCCCGCGTAATGATGTCCACCACAGGGTCCCCGATCAAAATGATCTATGCGTGCACAAGCTTGCTATGCTTCGAGCAATATCCCGATATCAAGCAACGGATCGACTTGGTTTGTTTACACAAAAACAGGAAAGAAACCGTCACTTGGTCGCTGTTGACCCCCCTGCAAAAAGGTTTCAATTTTGGGGGTTTGGTGGAAAACCCCTTGATTTCCCAAAAAGCTAAGGTCACCAATAGCAGTCAAGGTCAAAGGGCATGGGTCTCAGGAGGTGAAATGGTTGCCAAAAGCGCTGCTTGGCACTGCTCACTGCTGAGACTCCGCGCGAGAACCTGCGCAGCTCCCCGCACTTGCTGCAGCTCCCTTCTGACGGCTGCCGCCTGGCGCTTTAGATGACTAGAGTTAGGCCCAGTTATCGAATGTGTCACTGGTAAACTGGAGAATGCGTCCTAAGTCTACCCCAGTTTAGATGGGGGGGGGACTTTCAAACCAGACCGGGTTTCGTGGTTTCGCTTGAAGCGCTATGGATTCCGGGTCAGCAGTTTGCCCACTTAGGGTCTTGCCATTGAAGGCTTGATCAGCCACCAATAAACAAATAATTCGAGGGCTTCATCGACAGCTACTGTAGCTGTGTCCTTCACCCGATTGCAACTTCGAGACTTGTCATCCCCTCCCCCCGACAAAAAGCGTTGGCGTGCCTCGCTTTGGAGTTGGCGCACCTGATCGGAAGGCGGGAATGGGGCGAGAGCTCGTTGCACTGAATGCAGGATCCCAAAAAGGGGAGCCTAGCTGGCTGGTGATTGGAAACCTCATGTTGCAAGCGTTTGCTTGTTGATAAGTGGGTCAATGGTCATCTCCTGATTTGCTCGTCAGATCCCAGCCAGCTATTGACAACCTGCAAGTAGAAACCGTTGGAAGATGGAGCTGGGTTAGTCAGCTAGGCTACAGTGAGACAAAACATACCAAATCCATGCGGGGATGCAGGACGCAGATCATTTGGCACCCATGTTTGAGTCATGCAGAAAGGTCATGCACATGACATACCAATCATTTTTAGGGCTCGTGTGTTCTTTTTCGGCGAGAGCACGCTTGAACCAAGGGATCACCATGATTTCATTTTATCGGATTTGCATCCTCTACACCCACTGAAGCAATCAATATTGTGTGTGTGTGTGTGCCACCAATTCGGTTGCACAACAACTCTGAAAACCCTTCAGATGCTCAGGCACCCTGGTCGTCAATGAAGCGGTTCAACCATTTCAACATCACCCCACCAAAAGAAAACTCATGTCATAATAGTTCGAAAGGAATGGATTGAATCACCCGGAAGGCGTATTCCGAAGCAGAATGGGGATGACATTTGTTGTCAGTATCATGATCATGCATTATTATTATTATTATTCTCAGTAGTAGTAGTAGTAGTAGTAGTAGTAGTAGTAGTAGTAGTAGTAGTAGTAGTAGTAGTAGTAGTAGTAGTAGTAGTAGTAGTAGTAGTAGTAGTAGTACTGGTAGTGGTAGTGGTAGTGGTAGTGGTAGTGGTAGTGGTAGTGGTAGTGGTAGTGGTAGTGGTAGTGGTAGTGGTAGTGGTAGTGGTAGTGGTAGTACTAGTACTAGTACTAGTACTAGTAGTAGGAGGAGGACGAGGAGTAGCAGCTGCAGCAGCAACAGCAACAACGACAATACTAGCAGGAGTAAACATGGTAGAAGCAGCAACAGCAGCAGCAGCAGCAGCAGCAGCAGCAGCAGCAGCAGCAGCAGCAGCAGCAGCAGCAGCAGCAGTCAATGGTATGATTACTGTTTGTTCATTAACTTCTCACAAGATTCTGTTTACTGTCAATATGGGAACCTTGAAACACCTTACTAGGTGTTCAAGTCCAAAAATCCGAGGGTTCCCTGGGGCTTGGAACGCACCGTTGTTTATCGGTTTGGTTTTTCGTTTTGGGGAACACCCATTTCAGCGCCCAAAAATCCATACGTTCCACCCGTCTGGCAAATGGGTTCCAACAGACTGCAAGGGCGCATCCTGTTTTTAGACCCAGATGTTTGGACCAAACCAAAGAGTGCAAGGTCCAAAGGTTTGGGCAAGTAGGTCAACTTGGGCAAGCCCCCGTATGGATTCCGATGGGATCTGTCGCAAAAACCACGTGCTTGGTGGTGCTCGGAACCCGCCTAGAACCCGTGTAGGGTCCCTTGCACACCCCCCAACCACAAGGCGCCTTGACTTGCACACGGGTGGATATCGTGCATCAATTGGGGGAGACCCTTTGAAGGCGACCGCTTGAAAGGAGACCGCAAGGAAACCCTTTTTGCCTGGCCAAAGCAAGAACCATTTTGAGAAACCTCGAGCTGCTCGGGATGACTTTGAGGGAGGACATTACGACTCTTTGCCCCGTTCTCACCAAAGCTTCTTTCAGGTAAGCGGAACTGGAATTGAGATGAACCCATGACTGCATGCATCACCCTCGACAGTCAAAATACCAGGGACCCTTTTTTGGTATGCCCTTCAAAAGGCGGCACGCACCGGCGGCACCAGGGTCTACGTTTGCCCCCCGGATAGGCATGTTTGGCTCCGTCGCGCCTGTGCCGCTTCTCTCCTCGAGATGGGAGCCTGACTCGCACGGTGGCAGAAGTGAAAAAGCTTTGCCACATATGGCTGTGGGTCAAAACCAATGGTACCATTTTCGGGTAGGTACACCACCCATTTTAGTCTATTCTAGTGGGATTGGGAGGTTCGCGGGGGTACGGGATTTCGACCCATGGCCATATCCCCCGCATCAGACTTTCCAGTAGTCTATGTCCATAGATGGCAAACTTTGACCCAGGATGCACAAACCGACTGAGCTCGTACCCCCATGTCCGCCGGCGATTGCTATCTGAAGACGTCATGCCGCCTGCCAGAGGCTTCATCCGCTTCGCATTTTGATGTGCGGATCTCGGAAAAGCTAAGAGGAACCATGGACTATCAGAACAAGAATGGAGAAGACGTTCAGCATCTCAATCTACGGCGAAAACGGGCGCGAATTCTGGGGCGTGTGCCAGCTGGGCACCCTGTTGTGACGGTGGGATCTGAAAATTGTCGCAGGTGAGGAATGAAGTCTTGGGACGTGGTCAAAGGGGCGCGAGTCCGCGAAACACTTCGTTGATTGGCCCATCTCGAAGGGCTACAGCTTGTCAAATCCATTCGAATCAACCAGCTCCGTGGATTCTGCTGTGACTTGTGACCCCGCGGAAATGGGTGCTTCTCGCTCGTCAAATTTGATTTCGGACATCCAGGTGGTTGGTGTCCTTTTGGTTCTGCTTCTTTGGGTCCTGCATTTTGCGAGATGGGTCTGAGGTGCTCTAAAAACAGCCTAACCTGAACAAAGATCAGGAGGACCCCTGTTCCATTTCTTGTTTTCATGATTTTTGAAGGGAACCCTACGCAAAAGAAGGGGGAGAGCGATGGAACAACTCGATAGGTCTGGGCGTCCTTGCAGCCAGGCGCGTTTTGCTATCGGTAGAGCTGATAGAAAGCCCCATCAGTTCTATCCAATCCAACCCGAGAACAAATTGCGGCTTGCCTCGATATTGGAGCATTTGCCTTCTTACACATCCTGACCTCGGTTGCTTTCTGCTCCCCTGCTAAAAGTTCAACTTTTAGTGGTTTAATGTAGTTGGCACAAAGTTAAAGTCCTAACGTCCCTTGGCAAAATGCACCAAAGTGACAACATCTTTGAACAGGCTGCACACAGCACTTCCACCCTCAGGTCACTGCGCCATGTAATGTTAGCCCCGGATTAATAACCCCCTGGTTGATTAATAGGGGGGGTGTCCCCTTTTAGTGGGGATTCATCACTTTTGGAGGGAACACCCCCCTAATAATGGGACGGGTTTATTATTCCGGGTCAACATTGACTCAACACGTGTCTGCAAACGCTCGACTCGTTCAGCCCACCATCCCGACCAAAAGCCAGGCCTGCGACCCTGCTATGGACCTGGGTGGCGGCGCCCGAAGGCAAGCGGGCTTGAATTCTGCGACTTTGGACGAATGAAATCATCAATGCAAGTGACTAGTACTGCCTACTAAGCCTTGTGAGGCTTACTATCAACACAGCTTAAGCTTAAATAACCACACTTAGACTTGGCCTTGATAGTAAGGCTCAATTGGGCAACAACAAAAGTTTAACAAACAGGCCTTGGACGTGTTCGCCAGCAGAGTCTACCACATGTCTCCCCCCCCCCAAGGCCAAATTCATGACTGGAGTTGGGCGTTGCTGAGCACTTTGTGTTGGCTGTCGACTGCTTCGATGTTGGTCACAAATGAAAAGTGGCACGTCTCCTACCTCTAAACTCTACTCCAGAATTTGGTTGGTTATGTCTCTTTTGAGACTTGGTTCCCTTTCGGCGTAGAACCATACCCGTTTTGCTGGGTTGCTTGAGATTGGAGATCCACAATCCCAATGTGTCATCCGCAGTGCGACACAACTACAAAGAAAACCACGCACTAACATCTGACATAACGATTCAGGATCGATTTTGAACAATGCAATCGAAATGTCAAGTTTGATTGCTCATTTGCTCGTCGCGAAAGTCTGGCCAGCTTGCAAAGGGAAACCAACATCACCCCTGCCTATTTTGAGATTTCTGCATCCCATTCCGAGACAACCCCAAACAGCTTCTTTGACAAACCAAAAGGTGAAAGGGTCAAATAATGCTGATCCCATATTGATCAAGCCCAGTTTATTAATAGGGGGCTGTGCCTGTGTAAATGTGGGGAATCAGACCACTTTTGGGGGGGCCTATGAATAAACTGGTTCCATGGCCACGGTCAGAGTTACGCAGCTTTCTTGAGAAGAACATCGGGTTGTTGTGGTGAAACTCTGGCTTTTGTTTCCCCTTGTGCCAAATGAACCATAGACTGACAAACTCTGCCACATATGATCAGAAAGCCCTTTGCATGGGATGACCGTTGGAAAACTTCGATATTTCAACCACTGATTGGGAACAGTTACCCATGGTCATGGGGCCCTAAATGGGTATGGGTCGAAATTAAACCACCAGGATATGGACCGCAGGTTTTGGTCCATGTTTCCATTTACCCGGATTCCATTTTGGGTACATATTTTTGACCCACAGCCAAATGGACTATTGAGCAACCCCCAGATCCCATTCGGCCCGAAAGTTTCGAACATCCTCGCGCAAATCGAGGCCGTGGCTGCACCGCCAGCTCCTCCAGCTGCTGCAGTAGCATCCGGCAGCCTCGTGCGGCGTTTATGCAGGCTGCGCGCATTTGTGGAACCTGCGGTTCTTAGGGTTCTCGGAGCAAAATTCGTTGGAAGCCTTGGTTCTGTCTACTCCCTCCTTAGCAACTGCAGCAATCGAGCCGATTTGGATTGCGGCGAAAAGAACGATAGCCTGTGAAGCTGTCTGTACCTTGACGGCCTTTTTTGGGGGACTGTGCAAAAAGGGTGTTTTCCCGGGCAATTTCCCGTCAAGGACTCTCACTGATTTACTCCTCAAGTGGCATTGAAAGCTCCAGTACTATCTTGGGCCAACCGTGTGGCATCCTGGAATTTTAAATGCCCGTTTACAGCCCGAACAGACAATTCTTACACCTGAGGCTGGTGCACTCCTGCTCTGACTCTGCCGATTTCTCGAAGTCCTGAGCCTGCCATTCAACCAAAGCGCCACAGCTGGCTTTTCCGGGTCATCGGCAAGGGCACCCTCGTCATCCAAGTACCAAGCGTGCGCAGACAAGCGTGCGCAGACATGGCCGCCCGTTTCTCGTATGCACACGTAAGTAAGCAAGATAGACGACAAGCAAGTAGGTTGGGTAGGGATGCACAGTACATATATCTATGTTAATATATATATATATATATACATATATATATATATATATATACATATATATATATATGTGATTCGGGCACGAGCCTGTGCCCAGGCAATGGGTAAGTTGGGGTAAACAAGCCACAAAAGAAAGGTTCCCCAAAAGCAAACCAATCCCCGGTCCCAAAGATCAGGGTTTCCCACACACCAGAGAACAACAACCAAAAGGAAACAAACCAAACAAGAAAAGGGTTAACCCGCAACCTTGGTCGACAACAGGCCGCACGACTGGTCCCTACCAACCTGGCGGCGGCCCGAGGTCTCTTTCTCCCCCGAGATGCCGTCGGTCGACGCAGGGGTTCGGCGACGCCCATTCGAGGCGCGACGGAACCCAAAACTTGAGCCAAAACACCACAGGTCGCACTAATCCCTGATGATGATATGAACCATGGCTAATCACACCCCCCTCACGAGGAGCCCGTCATATGACGGGTGGAGCGTGCCATTTACTGATAGGATTTAACTGCTCGCATGCGTCCGCAAACAGCTGGACACTACCGCCGTCAGCGGTGGAGCAAACCCACAAAGGCAGTTGCGCGACATCCCGGGCATTAAATTCCCGCCACCACCCCGAATTAATCGGGGTAACGCTGTCCAACGAACCTTGTGGAAAAGTCCACATGACGACACTAGGTCACAACTGTTTGCATCAACAATGCAAGAAGTTTAATTCTTATCAGAAGCCATGAAATAAAAGATAACGTATGTCCATTAGTACCCTCGCCTAACGGCAAGAGGTACTCCTGACCATGCGTACCTGAATAAAAATGCTTGAATTCTGCAAACCCGGGAGTAACCCCCCATCAGTTTGCTTTCCCTCTCACTCACACTGCTCCCTGATGAACACGTCCAGCAGCCCAGCAGCGGTATGGGAGAGACATGACCTCCGCGCCTCAGCGGTCCGGGAGGAACATCACCACCTCCGCACCGCGCCGACCATTGGAGAATGGACGCAAGCCTATCGGCCGCAATCCTCGTGACTCAGCCTACCGGCTATCGTCACGTCTCCTCCGGTCACGTCCGCCCCGCGCACGGTCCCTATCACGATCCCTCTCGGATCTCCTGCGATCATCTCGCCTTCGATCTCGCTCCCGATCGAGTGATTCATCATCACGACGATCACGAGCATCGTCCCTCCTCCGGTCTCGATCATCCTCGCGCCGTGGACGGTATCTGCGCCTCCTTGACTCCCTGGAATCCCTGGTGTCCACGGTCCTAACGGACCTCCGAGAAGGAGTACGGGAGACATCCGATTCCCTACGCCTCCTTCCAGAGCGAGAGTTCGTCACGATCTGGTTGAGAGCCTCCAGTGCTGACGCGTCCTCACCATTTCTGATGAAATCCCTGACCTGCTTGTTTAGCACTCTGTTGGTGGAGATCGACAAGAAAGCGTCCACCACCGAACCCTCAGGTAGCACCAGGAAGTGTCCCTCCACCGGGCTCGCCGCAGCTCGCTCAGCAGACTGCAACCGGATCTCCCCGCCTTCAGGCTTCTTTGCCATCGCCTTGGAGGCCGTCAAAGGTGCTACCGCATCCTTTGCCGAAGATCTGCCAAGCGCGGAGTGAAGGTCATCTCCACTAGCCTCTCTTGCTGCCGCACCTGGTCTGCTGTCAACGTCATCAGGCCTCGTCGATGCCTCTCGCTTCGTTGACTCCTTCACAGTCTCGTCAGGATCCCAACGGGACTTCCTTTCTCTCTTCTGCCCTTCAGCCGACCCCCGACTACCGCCAGGAGCACCGTCTCCGCCTACCTTCTCCTTCTTGACCTCAACTCTCGGTTCGGCCTGCTTCGTCTCCTTGGCCTCAGCCTTCGGAGCCGGAGCACTCTTCGCCTCAGACACAGAAGCGACCTTCCCTTTTGGCTCGGCCTTTGGAACCGGGGTCATCTTAGCCTTCGCACTCGGCCTGGCCCCTTCAACCGCTATCGCGACCCAAGTCTTCTTCGGCTGAGCCGCTGCCGCATCAACCTCCATCGGAGCTGGTCCAGTGTCCTTTGCTTTTCCCTTTGGGGCAGATGGGCTACCGCCCTTACCAGATCCTTTACCTGGCGCTTCACCTCACTTCGGTGGTGGGCCGGAAGGACTACCGCCCTTACCGCCCTTTTCCCCCTTCTTCCCTTTTCCTTTTCCGCCCTTGACGACCGGCTCCTGCTTGGGACCAGGACCCGGCGCAGCATGATGCACCGATTGAAGTCCCTCGATGTCCACGTTTAGTGGTTCGGGTTGACGACCATCAAGAACCGTCCTCACCCTCTCGTCACTGACGTAGACGAACGGGTCGCGAAAGGGTGCGGGAGGCTCCGACTGCCCGGCACTGATCGCCTTCTGCACCTTGGCTATCGCCTCCTTCAACCTCTTCTTCTCATCGTACCCTGTTTCCGACACCATGTACTGCCTGAGCTGCGAAATCAACGCATGACTTTCCAGGATGTCCACGTCCTTTCGATGGGTCGGATACAATGGGGTCAGATGACCAGCCGCGGAGCCAATCACGTATGCCATCGGGATGTAGAAGGACAAGTACGTGTCATGGCGAGCGAACTTCCTAACGGAAGTCGTCATACGCCTACCCCACTGGGCAGCATGCCTTGGGTTAGCCCGGAAGTACTCCGTAACCGACTCAAATCTATCGACTTGGTTGGTCAAAATCAGGTGCTTCGCCACCCACTTCTCCACGAACGCATCCGATGCCGAAATCCCCGACACATAGGAGAATTGGAAGAGCACCTTCGCCAGCTCATCCCACGCCGCATCGACTCCTCCCTTGTCCTCACCAAGATAAGGGGGCAGTCTGATGCCGCTCTGCACCGTCATCCTCAGATCAGACGCCATCGAATAGGAAATCAAGTTCCTCTTGATGACTCCGACCACTTCGGTGGGGATCCTCTTGGGCTTGAACTGCCCCATGGTCCTCACCCACTCCGGTACGATGCGGCACCTCTCGAAGTCTTTCTCCTCCGCGTTGGGGATAAAGTTCGGGTAGAAGACCGGGAGCGCGCATCCAGGACACAAATGCATCCCATTTGGCGTCATCTCCGCGCACCTCAAACAGAACGTGGTAGTCACATTCAATCTGACCTCTTCCCGCGATCGCCTGTGCTCTCCCCTAACGGGGGTGAAGTCACCATAGTCCCATGCCCGATGGTACACTATCGTGTAATCATCGTACATGTAGGCCGCCTTCCAAGCTCCCATGTGGATCTCGTTCCTAACGGCAAGAGTCTTCCTTCTCGTCAAAAACACGGGCCCAACCAAGGACCAGTGCACCCGAAGGTCCACCATTACCACCACGTATCTACCGGAGTAGTTCCGCAGCCTGTCTCTGACATACCACGAAGGCGATACCTCGGCATCCGGCGCCATGGCTCCCACAAGTGGGATCAGGCCCTCATCCTGCCTACCATCCCCAATGGTCTCGTACACATCAGGCCTCGTGATCAATATCTCGATCATGGCCTTTCCGTTTCGCCTTACCCTTTGGAGCTGAACCGCCTTCCGGAAGTCCGAGAACTTCATGATGACGTACCCCACCATGGGGAGTTCATTCCAATGCATCTCGTACATCAGAGATCGGCACTGTAACTCATGTCGCGTCCGATCCGCGTGTGCCTAACGGCCACCAACCTAGTGCTCTCCTTGAGGAGGACGCCATTCCCGTCGTACATGACCATGAGCATCGCCTCAACTTGCCCTACCGGGAAAGCTTTGAGCGTCGGAATGAAGAACTTCCAAGACATCTCAGCGTTCTCCATGCCCGAGATCTCCTTCAGGAACCAGATGGCCTGGTCACTTTTCACCCAGTTTCCAGCCTCACGTCCGGTCTCCTTCAGCACGCGTTCCTCGAATAACTCCGAGACTCTCTTTGAATTGATGACCAGGCCCTCGAAGTCGCACGAGAGCAATCTCATCAACTCCTTAGCCGCCTCCCGCCCTGCAACGGCGCCCACGGTCTCCTCGTAGTTCGGGAGGTATTCGCCCAACCTTGTCTTCGAGGGAACGACAATCTGGCAAGTAACGGCCTCATCCGGGATAACTCCAGTTTCCCTCAACTCTGGATTGATCTCCCGCCTATCGGCAAGATAATCCTTCCTCCCATCCAGTATCACAAGATTGTAAGTCATCTTGCTCGCCGCCTCACTAGGTCTGAACCTCCTGCTATCATCCAGCTGATCAGGAGCAAAGGGTCCACTGGGGGCAGCCGCACTCACCATAGGCGCTCCTCGCCCAGAGCATAGGTGCTTCTTGTGAAAGTTCACCATCTGATTCAGCTCCTCCAATGACGCACTCTTCATCCCAGCCTCAGTCAGTGGAGCCTCAGGCTTGTCATAACTCGCCTTTCCGCCCCATCTCGCCGCGACTAGCTCAGCAGACTTCGCAGGGTCGATCAGATTGCCCGACCATTCAGGCATGTTACTCAACCTCCTAGTCAACGCGTCTACCGACGCAGCCAAGTCTTCATCCGTCACGGTGTAAGGGTCAACCTTCTCCCTGTCTTCTTGACCCACGTCCGGAAGCCTATAGTCCCCGCGGATGGCCTCCATTGCGGCCCTCTCGGCTTCCTCAGCCTCCTTCTGCGTGGCCACTGCTCTCGGAATCAAGAGCGCTACCTCGGCTGGCAACGACTTCTCCATGTCTATCGGAGTGTTCTTGGGAAGGATCCTTCGATCATCTCCCTCCCCGCTGTACTCATAGTTAGGAGCAGTCTTCCGGTACTCCTCGACGGTAGCCCCTTTGAAGTTGGTGATCTCACTCGGGTCTGCCTTCCCAGCCTCAGTAC